CGAAGATGGCGGCCGCGCGACTCCGGGCCGTGCCGCCGGCGCGCGTCGCGCTGAAGACGGCGAGCTGGTAGGCTGTGTGGGCGGCGGTGGCGACGTGCGCGAGCCAGTCGTGCGCGTGGTGCGCCGCCCGCGCGCGGACGTGGCGGTCGAGGGCCGAGGCGGCGGCGTCGTGGTAGGCGAGGGCGCTGCGGACGTACGAGGCTGCGTCGGCCTCGGTCTGTGCGACGTGCACGGCGAGGTCGAGGGACGTCAGGGCGAACATGATGCGCAGGACGAAATCGTGGCGGAGGCCCTCGCGCGGCAGGACGGTCTGCATGAGCGGGTACTCTTCCGGGTGGCACGTCATGACGAGGTACGTGTGCGTCGACCAGCGGTGCATGAGCTCGAGCTCGAGCAGCCGGCGGGGTTCCGGCGAGGGCTGGAGCTCGGGCGACGACGAGAAGGACGTTTCGCTCGGCGACGGCACCCGCGACGCCTGCGGTGGTGAGAGGGACGACGACCCGCTGCTCTGGCTTGTCTCGGACGGCAGACCGACGGCCAGGCAGGACGAGGGGTCGAGGTGTGCGGGCGCGTCGAGGTGTGCGGGCGCGTCGAGCTGGGCCGCGGAGGCGGTCGGACTCTGGCCGTAGGAGCATGTCGTTTTTCGCACCACGCAGTTGGCACACGGCGGGCCTTGCTCGTCGCATTTGACGTGTCTTTTCTTGCAGTTGAGACATCCTCTGCGGGATTTCGAGTGCGTCTGCCGCTGTTTCATCGTCCTCTCTCTTCTCATGGTGCCTCGCTGTGCTCCTGTATACCTAGGTTCCTGACGGTAGTGGCTGCGCGGGACGAGGTGCTTTTCGAGTCGTGGGCCACTGTCTGTTGCTGGTGATGTGTCTCGTCTCCGTCGTCACTGGGCGTGAACAAACAGGCGGGGAACCAACTTGTGTCAAACCCTCAGTCCACCACCCGTGGGAAACTCCACAACGGGCATCGCGACTTTAATACAAGTCTCAGTCTCACTTCCTCTCGAGGTCCCCCTAACAATGCAAGTGAAGTCAAGCTCCATCACGTGCCATCACCTTGGGGGCGAATCAGGGGGCCTCAGCCCTACCGACTCACTCATCCGCCGTGCTGGCTCTGATGTTCGACTGCACGTTGACGACGTGGCTGTGCCAGCGGCATCCATCTGCTGTCTTTTCTTTTGGGAATACGCGGAGAAACAGCCAATGGCGGCTCCTCGTCTCCCATGCAGAGATCGACATGTCGGCCGGATTGCTTCGGTACGCCCGCCCGACTGGGTCTGCCCTCCGATGCACCTTCATCAACGGGTCCCGAACCCCCAACTGAACGCTTCGTCCTTTTCCTGTTGCTTCACACCAATTTTGCTTGCCGCCCGCTGCTTGGCCGTTCATGCCGTGCCGCTTGCAGACGAGCCCGACCAACGGTGTCACGGCCTCAGTCAGCGCCGTATGCCGGGTCGCGGGTGATTGGCCCGTGTCGAGTACGAAGGATCAGACTAACGAGCAGTGTCTTCGCTTGGGCGCACAGCTAGCGGCGCCCGAGTTGGCATTGTAAGTTATGTCCCTTCTCGATCACTAGGCAACACAAATCAAGCTTCGCGTGCAAGCCACCCGCTTCCTCGAGATGATCTGCCTCCCCCCCCCCCCCCCCCTCCACATGTTGACTGTTCCCTCCTTTCCGAGACAAGCCAAGCGGGACGGTGTAAGCACGACAGCTCACACTGCCCGCGCTCTCTAGCCCGCATGCGGGAGGGGGTGGGGGCGGAAACGCCTGGCGTCAACTTGTCAGTTTGACGTGTCAGTGCGAGGAACATGCCAGCTGGAGAAACCCCGCACTTGAATAGCCTTAGATCACACAGAGAGGTTGCCGGTATCATCCCCGCTGAGAATCCCGAAATTCAACAAAGCAACCTGCCTGCCCGGCTAGCTCAATCGGTAGAGCGTGAGACTCTTAATCTCAAGGTTGGGGGTTCGAGCCCCCCGTTGGGCTCAATTCCTGACGCTGCTTCATTGAAGCTCATCTTTTGTTTTCGGCCCGTTCATCTTTTGAGATCTTTTTGGGGAACCGTGATGTCAGACTTTTGTCTATGGGAACAGTCAGGGCTGCTGCCTAATGTCATAGTCTGAAAGAAGACTTGAGAATTCAAGTTGTTAAGCATGTGCGACCAAGTTCAAAAGACCCAAGATACACATCTATATAAAGAACTTTATCCTGCACCTGCCATCATATGCAAGTACATATTGATATTGCAACATACATGGAAAATGAGGCTCACTTTGTCTGTTCATTATGCTGCTAGGAGTAAATAGGCCAATCGCGCTCTGCCCAGGGCCTCAATCACTTGGGGAAGGCGCGTCTAAATCACATTCAAGAGGCCCATAGCCAACTTGAGAGTGCAAAGTAATAGTTTCCACCTCTTGTGATATGAATCTGTCTATCCGCACGCCTGGAAAAACTTTGCAACAACATCAGCCGCCCTAACTCAACTCTTCAACACGCATCACGATACCGTAACCTATAGCAGAGATCGACACCTCGTTTGTCAGAGCACTGAGCTACCATGGTTGTCATTTCACAAGACTTTTGATGGCTGCTCAGAAGCAGCTACGCCAACGCGGATTTCACTTACCCGAATCGATCATCCTGGATCGCAAGTTTCGCGCCATTTGGGTGGCACTGAAAGCCCACCCCCTCTGCGACGGATGGGTGCATGTGTCCGACGCCGACCTACTCAAACTCAAGGACTGGACCGCGTCGTGCCTCGACACCATCTTCGGGGCATGTATCAGCGTCATCGAGCCTCGTCTCGCCATCGACCACGGCGCTCCACTGCCGGACGAGTGGCTCGCGTGCCAAATCATTGACACCCTGGTTCAGACGGAGCCCAGGTGGAAGGTACTCAGCTTTTTCACAGACAATGCCAGTGATCCGAGCAATTTCGTTTGGTTTCTCTATATCTACATCGACGGTCGGGAGGCGTACATCAAGGATGGAAACAACGATCCTGGAAACTTGTCGAAATGCGAAGCAGCGCTTCTGTCGACTGTCGACAGACTCCTTTTGTTGTTCAAAGTACGTATTTGTACCTGACTTCTTCTCTTCACATTCTCATCTTTCTTGCAGCGCAGACAGGAAACCTATGACGCGTGGTGCAAGGCCACTTGCCCGCCCAGCCAGAGAGATGCATCCAGCAAAGCCGCTGCATCTCGCGGCAAGACCCAATGCAACGGGTTGACCCCTAACACAGATGCTCAGCCAAGCACTCGTGACGCAAACAGAAAAGGCGAGTCCGAGATTGAACGGCTGGATTCTGATGTCAAGCATGTGCAAAAACAGCTCCAAGAACTCAAGTCCACTGTGGAAACGCGCTTCGAACAAGTCGCTCTCAAAATCGACGCGCAAGCAGGGTTCGCCAAAGACGCCACGAATAGACAAGCGCTGACTACGTCGTCGAGTATCAATGAATTGACGGCGAAAAACAACGACGAGCTCAACTCAGTTGCTGCCGCTTGTTCGCAAATGACTAAAGCCATGACCACACTGATTGCCAAGCTCGATCGCCAGGAAGAGAAGATGGATGAATTCAAGACTCGAGCCAACGCTCGGGAGGGTAAAGCCTGCATCAGCAAGGAGACGCAAATATTGAAAGCTGCCATGGACAAGACGACTCAGACGACCGGGGCTGACATCGACGAGGAGAATCAAATCATCGATCTTGAGGAACATTTTCAGCGCGAGCTACAGAATGCAGCTGCAACACGGCAAGATTTTCAGCAAGTGTGCAAGACTGCCTCTCATTTTGGGCCTTCTCCAGCCGAGGACACTCACCGTTCGGTCCGGCACGATGTCTGCAGCAAGACGGATTTTCCCGAGAATCCTCCTCTTGTCGTGCTTTCTGCGAGCGTCGATTCTATCGAGAAAACGCAAGACCAGGCTACCCACACCAAAACTACTGTCGAAACAGTTCCTGCGAAAATTGCATCGGCCAAACCCCATACACCCGAAAAGCAAGATATGGCAATGAAACAAGAGAATGTGGCAGGTAAGTCACCTCTCTTGCCAGGCTTATTGCTCCTACCCGTGCTCACTGCCTTGCGTAGCTCTTGTAGACATCTCAGACAGCGCGCCAGAGCCACTTGACAAGGCCGTCCAGGATATCCTGGACCTGGAAAGTGAGTTGCGTGCGATTTCCTCCATCATCCTGCTGAACTGACATTCGCAACAGAGATCATGGCCTCGTTTTCTGTTTGAGGCGTCAACGAGTGGTACGTGTCAAAGGAGATTGTGTACAATTGGTGTGTGCTAGTGATTCGGCCTGCCAACGCTATCCTTGGCTGAATTTTGTAAGAATTCTTGACCTGGAATCATGGGGGTTGCTGCTCTCGTAGTCTCCTTCATCTACCTCTAGCGGCTCTTTCCCTAGAGGAGGCCTAAGCCATCAGCTTTCTCTAGAACAACAAGACTACCCTTTTATGACCTGCCCATACAGCCCATGATCTGGAAACCTTCCAAAGCCCGCCCAGACATGCCCATTACGGCCCCAGAAGCAACCCCGCCCTCTCCTCCTCCACCATCTCCAGCGTAGCCAAACACGCCTCGCCCCCAAACCGCTCCCTCAAAGCCCGCCGAAAAACACTCTCCCCCGGCCCCTCCACCGCCGCAAACAGCGTCAGACAAGACCGAACCTTCACCCAGTCCGTCTCCCCAAACAGCCTCACCACATCTCCCTCCTCGCAGGCCAAAACAGCCCCCACAGCCTCGCGCAGCCGCGGCCCGAGAACAGCGTGCTCGGCATAGCGGCGCGCCTCGTCGACGGACGCGAGGGCAAAGTAGCGGTTCAGCGCCGAGGCGCCGAGGCCCGCGAGCTGGGGGAAGACGAACCAGACCCAGTGGGACGTCTTGCGGCCGCTGCGGAGCTCGGCCATGGCTTTTTCGAAGACGGTCTGCGGCGGGGTTGCTCTTTTGTTGAAGGGGGCGGATTGGTTCTGGAGGAAGCGGTCGAGGGAGGATCTGTTGGATTCGGTGAGGATGGGGCTGGCTTGTCTGCTGGATCGGAGGTTTCTCATTTTGGTTTTTTTACGTGGGGTACTTGTTACTCTGGAGAATGCTGATTGAGATATTGTGAATGGTGTCTGCGCTGGTGTCTGCTGGTATATGGTGATTGAGTCGCGTCGCGTCCGTGTTGGGCTGCGTTGGGGTGGGGTTACGTCCTTGATATAGTACTTCGACTGGCAGGCACAAGGGGATGCTCTTCAAAGTCAGGACGTCTGTTCTCTCCCATGGCGAGAAAGTCGAATCATGACAGATGCGATTCGGCTGCCCTTTCTCGAAAAGGACATTCACCAGCGCCGGATTGAAGAAACATCAGCTCAGCGCTTGAGAGGTAAGGTAGCGGCATTCCACCCCAACATCTGTGTACAATATCAGCAGCTCCGACCCCGTCGCAATCTCGTCACCAAACCCAATCGCAAAACTCAGCACGAGCGATATGTAATCTAGTAATCATGTCTTATCGTATCCTCATACAGCTTTTAGGCAGAACCCGACGGCAAACAAGCGCAGAATCCCTTCCTCATGGTCCCAGCAGTTACACACTGATCCACCGCGCCATCCACGTCCTCGTCACCTCCTTTGCTTCGTCGACCAGTCCCAGGTCCAACAGCATCTGCACCGAGCCCCTCGTTGCGCTCTCCAGCGCGCTAAACACCCACGAGTGCGTGTAGCTCGTGTGCTCGCCGATGAAGACCGTGTTGAACTCGGTGTGGAAGAACGCCGGCAGGTACAGCTGCTGCTGCGGCACAATGGGCACGGCCCATGACCCGGCGTGGTGCTCGTCGTGCTCCCAGCAGTGCCTCTCCCAGTTGCCCGTCCAGTTCTCCTCGGCTGCGGGGCCGTGAATTTCCACCATGGCGCGCTGGATGTAGGCAATGTGCTCCTCGTCGGACATGGCGCAGGCGACCGTAGCGTCATACGAGGCGACGTACGACGCGAGCAGCACACCGGGGCCTGTGGAGTTGATGTCCCATGAAGGGTAGCAAATCTGGCCGATAAGGGGCACATTCACGCGACCGCAGCCGCCGATGATGGGGTGCTCAAGATGCTCCCAGAAGCGCGTCTTGTACTGGATGGCAACCTTGACAGAGCCGTCAAAGACGGTGCGGTCGATGGCGCGGCGCATGAGGCTCGAGTGAGGGGGCAGCTCCCAGAAGCGGAGAAGGTTGAAGGGTACACTGTTGAAGATGTAGTCAAATGATTCCCTGATGGATACAACTTCGCGGGGGTTGCTGCCGGTCGGGCGATACGAGATGGTCAGCGTTTTGTTGTCGGCGTGGTGCTTAACGCCGTGGACCTTGGCTCCGAATTGAATACGGTCCTTCACAATGGGGGCGAAAGCTTCTGGCATTCGGCTGAGCCCGCCCTTGATCGTCTTCCACTTCTTGGCCATGAAGTACACAGTCTCATATTCCCACATGGGCCACACGACCTGCGAAGGCGTTGCCTCATCTGTAACGTTGAGATCGGTGCCGATAACGTGGCGGAGGTATTCGACCTCGGAGAAATCAAACATGCCCTGCTCCACGGCCTGCTTGTGCGCTTGGAAAATGTTGGTAGCGTAGAACTTGATGCGCTCCGAGGTGAGTCCCTTGAAGTCGTCCAGCGCTTGTTGAGCTTCAGCAACAGCCGTGGCGTTGGAGTACTGAGCGGGTTCAAAGTAGGCAGGATTTGTCGCAATCTCGGTCCTGCCGGGGAATGTGCCATCAGGACGGCGCTTCGTAGTCGACACGGGCGTATTGGCGGCCGTTTGGATCCAGTCGATAAACTTGACTTGGAGCGAGTCGTTGCCTGCGTTCATCTTGTTGAGAACATCGGCGACCTGGTAGATCATACGCTGATCCATGATGGGGAATGTTTCATTGGTGGTAGGGTCAGTGATCTCGTCTGCAAAGCGCATGGGACCCAGTTCGTGGTATTGGCCATCGTCCGGGCTCGTGCCATTCAGGTAGCTCGTCAGCATGCGGCCTCCGATACGGTGGGAGGACTCGAGAATCTTCCAGTTGTGGATGCCGACAGAGTCGAGAATGAGCTGCGCAGGTCAGATGTAGTCTTCTTTTGGTATAGACGTGCTGGAAGCTTACTGCTGTGAACAGACCAGAGATTCCGGCTCCAAGAATGCCGAATTTCTTGTCCTTGACCTGCGCCACGAAGACTTCGTCCGGCTGCTTTTGCTGCAGGTACTCGACGCCATCAAACCAAGGTCCCATGGGGTCGGCGACGTCGGCAAAACTCAGCCTGCGACGGACCATGCGTTTCTTAGCCCGCAGCTCTTGCGACTGCCCTGCGAGCTGTCCGTCCACGAAGGCGTAGAGGCATCCATCAGGAACGTTCGAGGGTGCCACCCAAACAAACTTGGTCGGCCTCTGCGCTTGCCAGTCGACGTGTCGTTTAGCATGAGGGTGTTTGCCAACGTGCGTTCGGCCAACCTGGTGATGGGCTGTGTCGAGCGATGTCATATCGCAGTTGCCGTAAGCGATCGTAAGCTCACCGTCGACATCATCATTGTAAGATACATTGATGTTATGAGCACCGCCATGCTCTACCTCAAACGGGCCCTGAAACGTGATAGAGCGTCGAGATGTGCTTTCAGCGGCGGAGAGCGTTATGAGAGGGGCCGCGAGGGCCAAGGACAGCAACCGGTGAGCCATTATCTGGAATTGAATGCACATATGAAGAAGTCTCACCGTCAACAACACCACCGTTACACGATGGCTTTTATACACCGACTTGATGATTTTAGTCGGCCCCCTCCGACTACGGCGAATAATACAGCGGGCTTGAATGCATCGCTTCGTGCTGGCGGCAATTGCCACACTTCGGCCGACGATAGGGATCAAGGCCCAGATACCGGCGATCTTCCCGGCATTTCCAAGTACGGGCATGTAACCGTGCTTGGCAGCGCAGCATCCCCGCCGCTGCCCCCGACCATGTCGAGGTACCCCTCCTGGAACCTTGTCGTGCCTGAGTCATGAATCGTTTTTCTGTGCTGCTTCTAGACAAAAAAGCGTTGTTTAATAACATGAGGGCACCTTGATGGATGATCAAGATCTTCGCTGGAGGGCGGAAGGGGTTCGTGATCGGAAAAGTCAAGATGCTGCGCCCCGGCTCTAGAAGCTGTTCACCACGATCGTAGGCATGGTTTGTGGCGAAGAAACCGGTCAATCTCACGAGTTGGCGGGAGATTTTGAGGCCTCAGATGTCTTTTTAGGTATGATTGAGCACAAAATAAGAGGCTCTGGAATTGATGAAGAACCTCAACACTCAGTACTAGTGCCAAAGCTCGTCGCGCGGGTCAGGCCACCGGAGTTTACGACGGCCCATTCGGCTGATGTTATTCCGCTCAGTGGGCGGTTGAGGAGGCGGGAAAGTCTAAGCTCTATCCAAGCCGGGGTAGGACTTGAAAATTTGATCATTGATGTCACGTCGCTTAGGTGGCGGGGCGAAGTCGAAGACTACGGCGCTGACTGATGCTGAAACGATGGTAAACAAACTTGTCCGAGTCTTCGACCTACGGACGGGCTACTGGAGCTCTTCGTGGATGACTTGCGTTCATGTGAACACGCAAATACTGATCTGGTCGGTGATCCTTTGCATTTAAGTTTACATCGAACATGATGATCGTCTGGCCGCTCGTAGTTACTAGCGCTCAGTTAAATGTAAGGTTAATTTTGAGGTAGAATGGAGGTGCCAAAAGGGTGCTCCAACACGTGCGCCATGCGCGACCTAGCTTGCCCGGAGCCGTGGCCATGGCGTTGGAAGTATGGTACTCTTGATTACTGCAGGGAACCTGCGTAATGCCGGGACATCGGATGGGATCTGCGTTTCAGGTAGAAGTTGGCAGTATTTCCCGGCATCCTCTCTCTGATTTGGGCGCTTGGGCAGGTTTGTGAAGCCATCCATTGAATGCAACCGATCAACTGGGCAATCGAGGGCAGTCGAGACTGGCCTTGTTCTGAATTGTGTATGAGCGGTATTCGTTGCATCAATATTCATCAATGCACTGGTGCCAAGTATATCAGGTCGCACTGCTCAGCGGCATAGCTGAGTTTGGTGGTTGGAATTCCCTTTCGCATCTGAAGACTGAGGGGCTCGGTCTTGGGACTTCGTCGTAGCTGGGGAATTCGTTTGCCGTGACATACAGAGTCTCAGACATTAAGCCACTGCCACGAGGCCAACGGATGCAGTTGCTATGGGCATCGAACGAGGCGTTCTTCGGCAATCATCGAGAACAAGTCTTGGTTGTCGCGAGCCCGCGATTAGACTCAGGAAGGATTTGATCTAAAAACATGATGGGTGCGACCTTGCTATCACCATTTACTTGAAGCAAGTCAGTCCCCATGATGAATGATGCGCCATTGCTCGGCTTGACATACTGGGATGGAGGCTGATACGTTGACGAAGGACATGGTTGTGGGCTGCATGGTGGTCGGCCTCGCGGATCAGGTATGATGGCAGATCTTGAACGATAAAGATCGCGGGGAGTCGGCGAAGGCTGGAGAAATCCGCGTCGAGAATCACATGCCAATTGCATGAAGAGTGAGGTGATCTTCAGGGTCTCAGCTGTCGACGACCTCCTCGCTTTCGCCTGATCGGTGCACGGGCCATGGATGGGAGGCGAAGAACGATGTGCAGGGAAGAGCTCAGCGGGTAGGCTGTTGACGTGGAGATAAGGTAGCAAGCGGGTTGCAAAAAAAATGAGACGTACCAGATCCACCCTGGGCTCAAGGATGTGCAGACGTGGCTCGAGACGGAGAGCGACTTTAAAGGCGGAATGAGATGGGCTGTAGAGGACTTGATTGTGCTGCATGGTTCATTGTGCTGCATGGTTCATTGTGCTACATGGCTGAATTACTACCAAATAATAGCTCATCTTCTTTCACATCAACTGTTTCATGTTTGACACTGCCATCAACCTGTGCCTGGGCAAGCCTGGCTGGTTAGGATGCTGCTCAGGTGTCCTCTGCCCCAGAGCACCAAGTCTAGGCCTATTATGGCTGTGTGCAACTGCCTGCTAGGGAACTAGGCACCTAAGGCGCTACCTACCAAGGCAGGCACCTGCTCTGCTTTCAGTGGTCAGGGCATTTCACAGCACTCAGGCCTGCGTCCCCTTCAGGCTCCCTGCCAGCTTAATCAGCACGGCACCCATGCACAGACCACTCACCGCCGTGCCCTCTGGCGACAGGCAGACAGCTTGATCGACTCGACGAAAGCTCGCTCCTACTCAAGCTCCAACCTGTCCACATCACCAAAACCTCAACCACCTCCCTCCCTCCTCCCACAACGACGACCCGCCATGTCGAACTACTACAACCCTCCACCAAACCAAGGCTACGGCGCCGGTCCCTCTGCCGGCGCCGGCGCCCAGAACCTCCAATTCTACCCCTCCTCCTACGGCCCCGGCGTCCAGGGCCAGGGGAACCAGCAGGCTTCATACGGATACGGCGCCCAGCCGGGCGGCCAGTTTGGCGGCGCGGGCTCGCCTGGGTTCGGCGGCGGATTCGGCGCCGCGGCAGGCGTGTCGGGACGCATGGGCGAGCAGGGCGGTCTGCGCACCGGCTGGCTCGCCGCCTTTTCGACCGAGGGGTACGACGGCGAGCCGCCGCTGCTGGAGGAGCTGGGCGTCAACTTTAAGCACATCCAGACCAAGGTGCGTCTGCTCCTGCCTTTTACCGTGCCTCTTTGTCTCGCTCTGTACCTCGCCAGACCATGCTAACACCCCCCAGACCCTCGCCGTCCTCAACCCCTTCCGCCGCATCGACCAGCACATCATGGACGACTCGGACCTCGCAGGCCCCATCCTCGCCTTCTTCCTCTTCGGCACCTTCCTGCTCTTCTCCGGCAAGATCCACTTTGGCTTCATCTACGGCCTCGCCGCCCTCGGCTCCGTCTCGCTGCACCTCATCCTCTCCCTCATGACGCCCACCGAGCTGGGCCCCCACGAAGCCGACTCCCACACCCACCCCTCCGCCGCACCCTACCCCGGCAGCAGCAGCGTCGGCGTCGTGCCGGGCGGTGCCCCAGGCGTCAGCAGCAGCAGCAGCGGCAGCATCCCAGGCAAGCCCGGCCACTTCTCGACGACGCTGACCTTTGCGCGCTCGAGCTCCATCCTCGGCTACTGCCTGCTGCCGCTCGTCGCGACGAGCCTTCTCGGCATCCTCATGCCCATGGACACGCCGCTCGGCATCGTCATCACGAGCGCCGCCATCCTGTGGTGCACCTACGCCGCGTCCGGCATGTTCGTCGCCATCGGCCGCATGATGAGCATGCGCCTGCTCATCGCCTACCCGCTCGCCCTCTTCTACGTCGGCTTCGGCATCATGGGCGTCTTCAGCTCGCGCGGGAGCACCCTTGCTGCGGCGGCGGCGGGGCTGAAGGCGTAGGCTTTTCGGGGACGAGACGCAGACGCGCGAGGCGAGATGGGAGCAGCAAGCTGGCGGACACAAAAGGGGGGGGACACGAAATTGGGCGCCGGGCTTGGGCTGGAACATGGCGTACCTGGCCGCATGGCGATGCGTGGATGCTGCTGCTGTCATGGGATGTATACCACAGGTCGTCATGCTTGATGCGAAATTCAAACTGAATTACAGCGGCTCCAGTCTGCACGTTTCCCAGCCGACAGTAACAAGCAGTGTCTGGTTTTCGTTCCAGATGATGATACGAAGAAGTAAAATCTTAAGCATCAATGTGGCGCCAGGTATGAAGCAAGGACATGAAGCAGGTGGTTGAAATACTCTAAGATTATAAACACAAAATGCCGCCCAGACGTTAGGTGCCGTCCCGGCACAGAGCCGCTGCCGCTCGAAAACGGTGCCCTGGGTGAACGGCAGCGGCGCGAAGTTCCCAAAAAAACCACAATATACAGATTTTCGAATAAAACCCCCTTCCATCCCAGGGCTGACACGCCTTGGCTTCCCATCTTCCATCTGTCGTACATCGTCACATCCACGTGGAGCTCCTCGTGAGCCCGCATCGACCGCCGACGGGTGATATCTCGTCTTCCACGGCCAGAGCCGTCTTGTCCCGTCCAAGTTTGCTAGCCACCAGGTTTACGCAGACTCGGCTGGCACACCGCACAGGATGGAGAACTGGCCACCCGCGCCGGCAGACACGAGCTTCTGCCCGCGGACGGCCGTGTTGTCGATGAGCGTGGGCGCCTCGACGTCTTCAATGGTGCCCTGGCCCGTCTGGTAGTTGGACGAGAAGCCCCACGAGTAGGCTTTGCCGTCCTTGGTGATAGCAAAGTTGTTGTCGGTGCCGGCGGCGACGCGGACGACTCCTTCAGGGGCTGCGCATCGTTAGCACGCGTTGCAAGAAGACGCGCGAAAGGGGAAGCTTGCAAGAAGACGCGCGAAAGGGGAAGCAAAACTTACAAGGAACAACCGTGGGCACGGCCAAAATGCGAGCATTGTTGCTCTCGTCGCGGATGAGGTCGTCCTCGGACACGGCGCTCTCGGCGAAACCAACCTGGAAGCCGTCGAAGCGGCCCCACGTCAGGAGCTTGCCGTCTTCGGTACAGGCCAGGGAGTGGTGCTGACCACCGGCAATGTCCACAATCTTGTGCTCCTCAAGAGAGTCGACAATCGTGGGACGCAGGATGACGGCGTCATCCTCGCCAGCGCCCTCGCGGATGCCCGTCTCGGCAAAGTTGTTGAGACCCCAGGCGTAGACGCGGCCCTTGGTGTCGAGGGCGAAGCTGTGGTACTGTCCGCAGGCAATCTTCTCAATGTTCTTCTTGGGGATGCCCATGCCCTGGGGCACGAGGGAGGACATCTTGTTGCGCTCGATGATGCGGCGGCCGAGCTGGTTCTGCTGGCCGCAGCCCCAGGCGAGGACGTTGCCCTTGTTCTCCAGGGCGAGGATATGGTTGGAGCCGGCGGCGAGAGCCTTGATCGACTTGAGCTCGGGGATGTACAGCGGTGTCATCTGGATCTTGATGTCTTGGTTGAAGCCGAGGATACCGTCGCTGGACTGTTTGTCTTATTGTTAGTCAAGTTACACTGTACGGACAGATCCCAAACTTACGCGGAAGGTACCCCATCCATAGACGCGACCGTCTTCGGTCAGAGCAAAGGTGGCGCTGTCGCTGGCGACGACCTGGACGAACTTGGCGTCGGGCGCAAAATGTTCGGCAGACACGGCGGTGGGAGTAGACTCGCGGGGGTTGACACCGGAATCATCGTCCTCGTCGTCCGACCCAGAGTCGCTGGCCTGGTCCGCATCACGGAGGCCACCGTCCCAGTTGGTGTCGCGTCCGAGGGCGCCCTGGTCGTTGACACCCCAGGTGAGGATCTTGTTGTCGTGGGTCAGGGCCGCAACGTGCATGCCACCGCAGGCAATCTGGACAACGCCGACGGGCGTGCGGGCGAGGTTGTGGTTGATGCGAGGACGCTTCACGTCAATGGGCTTCTTGCCGTCGTGCTTCTTGCTGCCGAGACCGAGCTCGCCAGAGGAGCCCTCGCCAAAGACGTACACGTCGAGCAGGGTCGTAGGGGCATCGTTGATCTTGCGGCCGACCGTGTGCGGGTGCTTGGGGGGAGCGGCAGGCTTGGGCTGAGGCTTGGGCTTGGCCTCCTTCTTGGGCTTGACGGGCTTCTTGGTCTTCTTGCTGTCAGACTCGTCATCGGTCGGCTCCTCGGTGGCCTTGCGCTTGCTCGCAGCCTTGGGCGCGGCCTTGGTGACGGCGGCCTTCTTCGGCGCGGCCTTCTTGGGCTCGGCCTTCTTGGGCTCGGCCTTCTTAGGAGCCTCCTTCTCGGGCTCCGACTCGGAAGCGCTCTCGACATCACTCTTGAGTGTAGCGGCCTTCTTCGTGGCCTTTTTGGCAACAGGAGCAGCAGCAGCCGCCTTTTTGGCAACAGGAGCAGCAGCCGCCTTCTTGGCAGGAGCAGGAGCAGCAGCAGCCTTGGTCTTGGTAGTCGTGGCAGTCGTCTTCTTCACGGCAGCCACCTTCTTGACCGGCTCCTTGGTCGTCTTGGCCTTCTTCGTCTTGGGGACGTCCTCGGCGGACTCGCCGTCGGTGGCCTCGTCGTCAGCCTTGCGCTTCTTGGACGCGGCCAAAGTGCCGTTGACGGCGGGCTTGGGCGCGGCGGCAGCCTTCTTGGTTGTCGTCGCCTTGGGGGCGGGCTTGGCGGTGGCGGCAGCGGCCTTCTTGGGCGCCGCGGCCTTGGTCGTTGCCTTGGGAGCCATGGTGGTGTTTGATGGAGTGGTGGGTGTAGGGTTGGAAGGGAGAGAGGCGCCGGGCGAGTCGTGTTGGAGAGACGCGTGAGGCAGGTGCGGTTGTGGCGTTGTTTTGTGATGGGAGCGAGATGCGACGCAGGTACTTACTCGGTGCTAATGGCGCGGTACGTAGCTAGCAGGGAAGACTTTTTCGAGTCGTGTCGAGACTTTTTCGAGTCGTGTCGAGACGTGTTCAAGTCAGTCGAGCGATCTGCCCGGGGACTCGGGGAGGGTATAGGTGGGTATGGGTATGGTTTTGGACGTGGCGATCAAATATGCAGCTCGCGACGCGTAGAAAAGGCTGGGGAGTATCGGTCAGGAATCCAGCGCAACGATTCGATGGAGATCTGCAGAGGATGAAGAGGGCGATGAGCAAGCCGTGGCTAGGTAGTCGAGACAGAGCAGGCACCCGGTAGTAGTCTTGTGCGAATCCAATATGGTGCGAGGAGGCGCGCGGGATTCGTCGAGGAACAAAGGCTTGCGATGGGAAGCACAATGGAATCCGAAAGCTGCAGGAGAAGGGGGAGATGCCGAGGCCGCACAAAGAACTGCGTCGACACGAGCAGAAGAATCGCTTGATGAGAAGAAGGCGAATACAACAAGACGTCGTAGACTGACGGATGGCAAGGGGGGGGATAGTGGGAAGGTGGTTGTGCGAAGAAAAATGTCGTGCGACGCGCGAATGAGTCGGGAAATAATAGACCAGGTAGGTACTGCTGCTGCTGCTGCTGCAAAACGGAAGCTTCGCTGCGTCGTGACGGAGCTTGCTTCCCAAGCTTAGAAATTCAGACACGCCTCTAGTCCGTATCGGGTCTGGCGTGTCGCTGCCTACAGGGGGAGCTCGTGCCATTGGTTCGAATGAGGTGGGCAGCGTAGCTCTTCATTGGGTTGAAGAGGGCTCCGCTGCTGAGTTTGGGACAGGGTGAGATCGGTGAAGAGGGTGACCTCGGTCTGCACAGCACACCGGGGGCTCCTCAGCGTCACAATCCGCACACAGGAGACCTGACAATCGTCTTGGGCATGACTGCAGCACCGGGCACGCTGCAGGTTGGGTGCTCGGTGCTGCAAGGGCCCATCACTCTAGGACTGCTGAGATGGTCGAGGGAATCTCTAACAATCAGTCAAGCGTAACAATCAGTCAAGCGTACTATCAGTCAAGCGTACAATCAGTCAAACGGAAGAGGGACCACAGCATGCACAATCCATCCACGTGTTCCACATTGAGTTGCTCGAATACCGCGGTCTGCGATGTCCAAAAACGTCCACCAAGCCGTGACCGCCTCGCCTCGGCCACGGACGGCCCATGCTCGAGCCCCACACAACGATTCGGCACAAAATCAGTCCTGCTTCCGCGGTGCCTTGGCGCCATCGCCTCCCACGAGCAAGCCCGTCACGCCAGTCACGGCCTCGGCCAGCATGCCGGCGTAAAAAGACCCGTTGAGCAGCGCCAGCATGTAGTAGTCGCGCGGCAGGCTCTGGACGAGGACGTAGACGCCCGTGGCGCCCAAGGCCGCGACGCCGGCGGCGAAGACGGGGGCCCAGGACGGGCCCGGTCACGCGGCGCTGACCTCCTGGCTGCCGATGAGGAGGCCCATGATCTGCAGCGTCAGGGCGACGGGGACGACGAGGATGAGCGACTCGTTGCCGGCGACGAGGGTGTCGAAGTCGCCGTAGGCCACGCCGGCGATGACGGCGTAGGCGACGGCGCTCACGAGGAGGGACGCGGCGAGGGTGCCCTGGGAGAACGTGTCCACGGGCGCAGGGCGCGGGGCAGCGCGGCCGGCGGGACGTTGGGCGGCGGGAGACGACATGGCGGCAGTGAGGGCGCGCTGTCGTGGGAGGTTGCAGTGTGATGGCGGGGAGGAGCGCTGGGTTGAGGGGTGCGTGTGAAGTTTTTCTGAGGCGTATCGCGAGCTCTTGGACACAGCCTCCTTCCCGTTCCGACAAGGGGCTGGAAACGATCCGACTGGTCTGGAGACGACTGGTCTCAGTCGACAGGTCTGGAGTCGACTGGCCTGGAGCCTTCACAGTGTGTATTAGCCAGTTGCACTTTAGCGGTCACTATTCGTGTTCGCAACATGGTCTGCTGGGAGGCAAGTATGGCGCAATTGTTGCTTCCGGCGTGACGTTATGATTCCTTTTTGAATGTAATTGTGACGCGAGTGTATTGCTACTTGGCTGCCCTGTCACCCGGCATTTTTACAGGTAGGTGTACCATGCTGGTGAAGTCTGCCACGACTGAGTGGAAGTGAAAGGGTCCATTGTCAGAAATTGAGGCTCAACCTTGGTCGAACAAGTATCATTTTCGGTCCAGTGGTATCTATCGCAGCTCTCCCGGCCGCTCCAATGACCCGCCAAGAAACCCAAAACCCAAAACCCAAAACGCCAATGGAAGCCCGAGCAACCCTAACCCAGGCCTTCGTCCACCGCACCCAAACTCCATGAATCACAAGCCACAGTCCATCCTGCCAGCCGAGACGAAAAAGCATCTACCGCTTCGTGGTAAAGTCAGTCTCGTGCTCCGAAGGGTCCCACGCGCCGTCGGCGGCCTTCTCGCAGGTGCACGCGTCGGCGGAGCGGCGGCCGCAGCTGCACGTCTCGCCGGCGGGGTTGGCGTTCTCGGTGCTGGCGCGGTCGCAGTTGCAGCCGCCGGCGGGGCGGGCGCGGCACGAGCAGCGGGCGCCTGAGATGGCGTTCTCCGAGGCCGACTTGTCGCACGTGCAGTGCAGGGCCGACTGCTTGCCGCAGGAGCACTTGGCTTGCTGGGCTGGAGGGGGAATCAGTATGTGGCGTGAGAGGGCGGGTGGTGGTGGGTGAGCTTACCGCAGACGCAGGAGGCGGACTTGCCGCAGCAGGTGGAGGACTTGTCGATGGCCATTGTGGTGGCGGGTGGGTAGTGAGTGGAGAGGGAGTTGTGATGGTTGAGTCCGATGGTACTGAGGGATGACTGCTGAATGAAGATGGCGAATGTTGTGCTCGGAGCTGGCTTGAAGGTTATATACCATCAAGCGTCCATGGACGAAGACGTCACGAGTGTCACAGCAAAGGATCGCTGACCTTTGTCCGTCCGTCATCAAACGTATGCTGATTGGCTGCTGACCATTTTCAGCCAATGAGCGTTCGCCTATTTACAATCTCTCCGGACGCAACACGCCACTACGGGGAACATGGTTCGACTCGGCCGTTCCGAAGGGAGGCGGAAGGTCTCGCTGGTCATGCGAACTTTGGCCAGGGATGCCTGTTGCCTTTTGAATTCCGATCCGGATGAGCATGTCCGCTTCTTATCCTCATGTGGTGACCTTTGTCATCAGAGCCCTCTACCATATGTCTTGCTATTTTATTCCTCCATTTCGACTACCAGGAAATTGTAACAAGAAACATAACTGGGAGCATGAACAGTGGGCACTGCCATCCAAGCTGCGCCGGCGTCCTTCTCCATATCTTGCGGGGCAATCTGCCGTGTCCCGGACGGTCATGCCGGCCCTGCTCCGGAGAGCGGCTTGCAAAGCTGGCGGGCGGGCTTTGTGACGATGCTCCACACCAGGCCAAGCAAGAGCTTCCTTGCCAAGCAAGCGCTTCCTTGCCCAATGCCCCGCGGATACCAACCTGCCTGTCACATCATCAACATGAACACTGCGTCGACTGACCCAACAGGCCAATTGACTCGACTCTTCCCCGCAGCCTCCCAGGGGGCATACTTATGATTCGCTGCCGTGACGCCGGGACCTATGAATACTGCATCATGACACCACAAGCACACGGCATGCCAACAGCCTTTATGGATCGCCAATCATTGCCCGTATTAGAAGAGAAAGTGAGGCTTCAGGGCAGCAGCATGCATTAGTGAAATTGCGGGCCGCGGCCGTCGTGCTTCCGGACCGTGGTGATTGACCGGTCTCGACTGCGATATGCAGCTGGTGAGCCAGGCTGCGGATGCAGTCTTGGCAGCCATTGTTGTCAATGCCTATTTGGCCAGCCTGATCCACCAACCTGCGGCCGCCCTCTGGCCTGCGCCTACGCTGTAGTAGGCCTCTGTTGATTGGAGATGTAGCAAAGGCCAAGCCATCTGCGCGTGTCATGTCGGCCACTGCTGCACGGATGCCCAACACGGTGCACCTCTCGTGCAGATATAAGACTGCATGGTAATCAGTGATCCTCTCAACAAACGAGCTCACAGCACCACCAACCCAGCCATCCAGACATCATGGCGAAAGACGTGAGCAGCAACGAACTCGCGCCGGAGTCCGAGCTCACGCCTCCGCCTGTAACGCTCCTGACCCCCGACGCCCACAAGCTCACGCAGAAGATGGACCAAGACACAGGGCCCGTGACATCGTAGGCGAAACTCACCCTTTTCTTCTCTCCACGCTCAGCACCCCCAGCTAACCTCTCGGGAGTCCGTACATGGGCGCGCAAGTCCAGGTATACTTCCGCAGCGGCCTGCCCTTCCACATCCCCCGCGTGCTGTGGAAAAAGGCCCGCGTCAAGACATTCTACAGCAGTGCCGACCAGAACTACCACCTCCCCGCCGTGCCCGACGAGGCCGGCCACGTGCTGATCCACTACCTCGTCACCGGCACCTACCAGACCCTCAAGACGCCAACGGGGCCGAGCAGCCTCGAGGTCGCCGTCTACGTCTACACGACGGCGCTCTCGTGCCGGCTCCCCGCCCTCGCCGCCCTCGCCAGGGCGCGCATCGCCCGCTTCGCCGACGCCCTGGCCAGCCCGGCGCAGGTGCTGCGCGTCGTCAGCGAGGGCGCCAGGCTGCTGGCGCGCGAGGACCCGTGGCTCGTCGGCTTCGTGGCGGCGCACGTGCGGCGCGTCCTGGAGGAGGCGCGCGCGCCCGGCGAGGACGAGGTGCTGCGGTGTTTTGGGCCGCTCGATGCGTTTTCTGCCATGCTGGTGCGGGGCATGATTCAGATCTGCGCCGCGGCTGTGTCGTGCGGGGAGCCCGTCGTGGCGACGCCGGAGCCTCGGGAGGAGAAGGTGTCTTCTGCGCACGGGTCTCTCGAGCTGGAGCAGCGACCTTTGGAGGCTGAGGGTGTTCTGGACGATCCACCCGCGCCGGAGCCGGAGCCGGATGTGATGCCCGAAGACGAACCTGCGGTGGAGCCCGAGTGGACGCTTGAGCCAGAGCCAGAGCCCGAGCCCGCCCCTCCGAAGGCGGAGACGATGCCGGTTGAAGAGCCCGAGTGGACGCTTGAGCCCGAGCCCGAGCCCGAGCCCGCCCCCTGCGGAGGCTATACCGGAGCCAGCCTCGGAAAGTGGCACGTCGGCAACGTGGGGCCAAAGCCAGAAGAAGAAGCCGAAGAAAAAGCCGAAGAAAAAGGGGCTGTTGTAAGTCGTTGTGCGAGACCTCTGCACGGCACGCTGCAGAAGGATTGCGACGCAGCAGAAGGAATTGCCAAAACCATCAAAATCACCTTGATTTCATGACCAGCGGCCCAGAATAGCAGGGCAAAGGAGGTGACAGAATACCAGAGCACCGGTGCATTGTAGAAATACCACGCTGGTATCCGCTGTCTGCGATTCGCAAATCGGTTTCGCCAGTACCCAAATCTGAACCGTATCGCATGGCCTCCTTCCGCCAGAAAGTGAGTGGCATGCACAAACGTTCATTGCATCATGATAGGCAAGACGCGTTTGAATACCCCCGACAATTTAACCAACTGGTGCTTCCTGGCTCTATCGAGCAGATTGAGTTGCGTGCACGCGCACAGCGAACAGCATTTGCACTCAAGCACGCCTAGCGAAAGCTTGGCATTGGTTTCAGCAGGCCACGATCAACACTTGTTCCCTGCCGCTCGGCGATTTCAGGCCATGACGCGCTCATCTCCACGGACTATTCAAGACGGCTGAGTCCCGCGGCGCTGCTTTGGCCACCTAGGGAGGAACAGCAACGGCCGAGTGCGACGCAGCGGGAAGTGCACGCTGCGTGCTGCTGCGCCTGTCGGACCCCTTGCGGAGGTCTCGTAGCAGGACATCTGGCGACTTTGCCGCATGCAGACAGATTAGCCGTCCGACGAGTGACCGTGACGGAGTGGACAGCGATGCAATGCCTTTCGTGAGACAGAGCTGATCTGATGAGGAGGGCATCGGCGTGCGTGGTGGTGACAAAGCGTCGCTCGTGGCCAGTGGGTTAGATGAATTCGACCAAACTCCACGGCGTGCTGCCGAGTCCGATAGGCCCGGGCAGGATTGCCAAGGATGACTTTGTGATTGCTCGTATCGAAATCTCAGATTGAGACATCTGGTCTCCACTGGGCGTTCTCATCTTGGCCTTGACGCGGCATGGCGCAACAAAGGTCAGTCGAATGGACTGCCCGTGTCCCGCCTGTCTTCTGTCTCCATCAGGGACCACGGCTCGGGGAAACAGACGTCGAGCAGCACGCCATGGCTCCCTTCCGCGTTGACAGCCACAACCGTCATCCCGTGCTGGCGTCCAGGTCCAGGTCCAGGCCCGCACGAGGACAACACGCAACCACAACGGGTCTTCGGCCAAAGGGCTCCTGTTCTGGGGTGGTACGGCAGACGGCCGGCGAATGAAATGAGAGTGTGTGTGTTGACATGTGGCCATTCATAGGTGCCGGAGAATCGCACGGAGTAATACGAGTAGGGGTTGGTTGCAAAGGAAGAGGGAAAAAAAAAAATAAAGAAAAATGAAGAACAAACAAATTAGACGCCCACCATCCATCCGGGTGGGTTTCTGGCCGGTGGGTTTTGATCGCGTCTAGTGGGTTCATGGCCTTCAAGCCTTTTCCCCTTTCATTCAAGGTGGAGCGTGACGTCCTGGTATTCAGCACTCAAACAGGGCGAAGGCGGTGGGGCTCAGGTCGCCGCTAGCCGGCTGACGAGGGAGGGAGGGGGGTTCAATCTGGGGTTGCATCCGGAGGTAAGAGACGCTTCGGCCGGGCCTTTGCCGATTCCAGCTACCGCACCTCGTGGTTTTGTGCATGCTGAGTGGCATGTTCGTGTTGGGGTGCATTGGCGGCGGGGATTTTCCATCAGAGTTCAGAACAAAGACGGAGCAATGCCTTTGCGGACCGGCAGAGGACGAGACGACGAGCAACGAAGGCTTCGTTGACCATTCGGCGAGAAGCGGTGGAATCATGTAGAGTGGTAGTCGGAGTTTGGCGGTGAAGGGCTTGCAAGATAAGGTTGGCACAACGCGCCTGGTGTGTCTGTCTGCGCCATGGATATCCCGATGCCAGAATGGACAGTACACGTGTCTGTCTCTCGATCCTCGCCTTGTGCCCTCAGCAATTGGTCGATGAAGGGATGTGTTCCGGGCTCGAAAAGAAAACAAACGTGGTAGCGGGGATGACTCAGAATGACTGCAAAACATGTCGCTCCGTGGCGGAAGGGAGAGGGATCAACCTCGATGTACGTAGTTCCATCCTACTACGTACATAGGTACTGTATGCGAGCATTACTCATGCAACCGCTCTGCAGCCGCGTGCTGGAGTCAGTCCTGGCAGTGGTCCCAGTTGCCAGTCCACTTCAGTTGTCAATATTCAGTTGCCTTGCCTACGTCCCCCCAGTGCCTAGCAACTTTTTGCGAGCGACCAGGTCGTACATGTACGTACAGGGGGTCCAGATTCCGCGTTATGGTCTTGGCATCAGCAGTGGGGCGGGCGCCGTGGACCGTGGACCGTGGACCGTGGACCGTGCCGTGGACCTCGGCGTGCCAAAGCTGGCATCGTCCCGCCGGATGACTCGACCTCGATGCTGTGCAGCTGCTAAGGTGGGTGATCGGGAAGGGGGGGTTCATCGAAGATGGGTACCTGCCTACCTACATGCTAGGTAGGTACCTGGGTTGGTGCCAAGCCTGGGTTTTTACCGATGATGGGTTTTCGCCTGACAGTACGATGTTGTGTGCTCGACCGTGCCAAGTCATTCACAGCACGCAGAGTAAAATGATGACAACATAAGAATGGCCAGACGCGTGTTTGATCAACCACAGACGATGCGCAAATCGCCAAAACCCAGATCTGAACCCTATCGCATGGCCTGCACATGGCCTGCTTGACGGGATAGGTACCTAGGTAGGTAAGCAGGCAAGCAAGCAAGGTAGGTACTGTATACTCTGTAATTGCAGGCACACAGAGTTGACCCCCAGACCCGCTCCACCCCACTACCCGATGCCAGTTCAAGCACTGGTGCCTGCTCCGGCCTGCTCAAACGGTTGATCAAGCCCACGCTAGAAAGCTACAACAGGCACGGAACCCACCCGTCCCCCAGTTCGTGGCTCCGGGAGACTGATCCCACGGGCTTAAGCTCCAGGGAATGACCTCTCAAATCTGTGCTGGATTGGTAATCTTTTCCCTCTCCCACGGTCTGGAGATCATCGCTTCGTTCCCATTGTTTGGGAAGAGCCCACGCCCTGTCCTCCTGCCTGCCCAGTCCGACCGTCCTGCCAAGGCAACTAGGTAGACCTTTCCCATCGTTTAAAGATTTCGGGGGTCCCTGCCTTTTTCTTCCCCCCCCCCCTCCGCCTTCCTGTCCTGGTCTATCAAGGCTTTTGCTCCCCTCCCTCACTTTTCTTGGTAAAGGTAGTCGAGGGTTTGTAGCACCATCCCGAGAGCAAAGCGTGTCGACAAACCGCACGACGACGCTACTCGTCTCCTCGACAGACGACTGCCACTATCCTTTCTCTATTTGTTCATTAATCATCCAAGTCCGCCTGCTGCACAGCAAACTTCCTCCTCTTTCCGTCCTTTTAATCAGATCAGCCCGTCCTTCGAACGCGGCTCGATCACCACAAGTCGTCTCTGACGTCCCGCAACACTACGTATCCTGACGATTCACACCGCTATCACCACAATGGCCGACAAAGCTTTCGAAAAGGCCGAAGAGGCTGCTGTTGACGGCCAGAACCTGAACACCGCCGAGCACGCTGTTGCCGGCACCAACGCCATCCCCGATGAAAAGTCCGCTCTCAAGGACGACAAGTCGTCCGTCTCCACCGCCAACGACCCGGAAAATGCCCGCGAGGAGGCTCGTCGCAAGAACCCCGATGGATTCACCAACCTCCACCGCGGCATCTCGGTCGAGCAGGCCGAAGCCGACTTTGCTGAGCTCCAGCGCGAGCTCTCGGGCGTCTCACGAGCCAGCCGTGTGAACAGCCGCAGAAAGTCACACGGTGACGCCGAAAAGGCCATTGAGGCCGCATCCTCCTCCGACACGGAGAACGAGCAGTTTGACCTCGAGGGTGCCCTGCGCGGCGGTCTGGACGCCGAGCGCGAGGCCGGCATTCGACCCAAGCACATCGGCGTCATCTGGGACGGCCTGACCGTCAAGGGCATTGGTGGCACGACCAACTACGTCCAGACCTTCCCCAACGCCGTCATCAACTTCTTCGACTACGTCACCCCCGTCATGAGCCTGCTCGGCTTGGGCAAGAAGGGCGTCGAGGCCACCCTGCTCGACAACTTCCGTGGCGTCTGCGAGCCCGGCGAGATGGTTCTCGTCCTGGGCAAGCCCGGCTCCGGCTGCACCACCTTCCTCAAGACCATCGCCAACCAGCGTTACGGCTACACTGGCGTCACCGGCGATGTCAGCTACGGCCCCTTCACCGCCAAGGAGTTCAAGCAGTACCGTGGCGAGGCTGTCTACAACCAGGAGGACGACATCCACCACTCGACGCTGACCGTCGAGCAGACCCTCGGCTTCGCTCTCGACACCAAGGCCCCCAACAAGCGCCCCGGCGGCATGACCAAGAACGCCTACAAGGAGGCTGTCATCACTACCTTGCTCAAGATGTTCAACATTGAGCACACGCGAAACACTGTCGTCGGTGACGCCTTTGTCCGCGGTGTGTCTGGTGGCGAGAGGAAGCGTGTCTCCATCGCCGAGATGATGATCACCAACGCTTGCGTCCTGTCCTGGGACAACAGCACCCGTGGTCTGGACGCCTCCACCGCTCTGGACTTTGTCAAGTCGCTGCGCGTGCAGACCAACCTCTACAAGACGAGCACCTTTGTCTCGCTGTACCAGGCTTCGGAGAATATCTACAACCTCTTCGACAAGGTCATGGTCATCGACGGTGGACAGCAGGTCTTCTTTGGCCCCATCGCCGAAGCTCGCGGCTATTTCGAGGGGCTGGGCTTCAACCCCCGCCCTCGCCAGACAACCCCCGACTACCTCACTGGTTGCACCGACGAGTTTGAGAGGGAATACACCCCCGGCCGTTCTCCCGAGAACGCACCCCACGACCCCAAGACACTCGTCGAGGCCTTCAAGGCGTCCAACTTCCAGAAGCTCGTCAACAGCGACATGGACCGTTTCAAGGCCAACATTGCCGCAGAGACGGAACGCCACGAAAATTTCCGCGTTGCCGTTGCCGAGGCGAAGCGTGGTTCGTCCAAGCGCTCCGTCTACGCCGTCGGTTTCCACCTCCAGGTCTGGGCCCTCATGAAGCGCCAGTTCCTCTTGAAGCTGCAGGACCGCCTGCTGCTCACCATCTCCTGGATCCGCTCCATCGTCATCGCTATTGTTCTCGGTACCCTCTTCTACGACCTCGGCGCCACGTCTGCCAGTGCTTTCAGCAAGGGTGGCCTCATCTTCATCTCTCTCTTGTTCAACGCATTCCAGGCTTTCTCCGAACTGGCCGGCACCATGACTGGTCGTGCCATTGTCAACAAGCACAAGGCGTACGCCTTCCACCGCCCCTCAGCCCTTTGGATTGCCCAGATCATCGTCGACCAGGCATTTGCAGCAAGCCAGATCATGGTTTTCTCGATCATCGTCTACTTCATGACTGGTCTCGTGCGTGACGCTGGCGCTTTCTTCACCTTTTATCTGATGATTCTCTCCGGCAACATCGCCATGACGCTATTCTTCCGTATTCTCGGCTGCATCAGCCCCGATTTCGACTACGCCATCAAGTTCGCCGTTACCCTCATCACCTTCTTCGTCGTGACCTCTGGCTACATCATCCAGTACCAGTCCATCCCCGAGTGGATCCGCTGGATCTACTGGATCAACGCCCTCGGCTTGGCCTTTGGCGCCCTGATGGAGAACGAATTCAGCCGCATCGACCTCACTTGCTCTGCCGAGTCGCTGATCCCCTCAGGTCCTGGATACGACGACATCAACCACCAGGTTTGCACGCTCGCTGGTTCTACCCCCGGCACCACCCTTGTCGATGGCTCCCAGTACATTGCGCAGGGCTTCTCCTACTACAAGGGTGACATGTGGCGCAACTTTGGCGTCATCGTCGCTCTCATCGTCGGATTCCTCATCCTCAATGTTCTTCTCGGCGAAATTGTCAACTTTGGCGCTGGCGGTAACTCGGCCAAGGTGTACCAGAAGCCCAACGCGGAGCGCAAGAAGCTCAACGAGGCGCTTCTTGCTAAGCGCGAAGCGAAACGCCAGGGCCAGAAGGGAGCTGCTGAGAGTTCCGATGACCTGTCTATCAAGTCGGAGAGCATCCTGACCTGGGAGAACCTCACTTACGATGTCCCTGTCCCTGGTGGCGAGCGGAGGCTTCTGAACAATGTTTTCGGTTACGTCAAGCCCGGGCAGCTGACCGCTCTCATGGGCGCGTCTGGTGCCGGCAAGACAACTCTTCTCGACGTGCTCGCTTCGCGCAAGAACATTGGTGTCATTGGCGGTGACGTTCTCGTCGACGGCTCCAAGCCGGGCAAGCAGTTCCAGCGCAGCACCTCGTATGCCGAGCAGCTTGATCTCCACGACCCCTCCCAGACTGTTCGCGAGGCCCTTCGGTTCTCGGCCCAGCTTCGCCAGCCCTATGAGACTCCTCAAGAAGAGCGTTTCACCTATGTTGAAGAGATTATCGCCCTTCTTGAGATGGAGACCATTGCCGACTGCATCATCGGTACCCCTGAGTTCGGTCTTACTGTCGAGCAGCGTAAGCGCGTCACCATTGGTGTCGAGCTTGCCGCCAAGCCCGAGTTGCTTCTCTTCCTCGACGAGCCTACGTCTGGCCTTGACTCTCAGAGCGCCTACAATATTGTGCGCTTCCTGAAGAAGCTCGCCTCTGCTGGCCAAGCCATTCTCTGCACCATCCACCAGCCCAACGCCGCACTCTTTGAGAACTTTGACCGCTTGCTGCTTCTGCAGCGCGGTGGCCGCACCGTCTACTTTGGCGACATTGGCCGTGACGCCGAGGTCCTTCGTTCGTACCTCAAGAGCCACGGCGCCGTGGCCAAGCCCACTGACAACGTTGCCGAGTTCATGCTCGAGGCCATCGGTGCCGGTTCGGCGCCGCGTGTTGGATCTCGCGATTGGGCCGATATCTGGGAGGACAGCGCCGAGCTCGCCAACGTCAAGGACACCATCTCGCAGATGCGCAGCTCCCGACAGGCGGCAGCCAAGGAGCACAACCCTGACCTCGAGAAGGAGTACGCGAGCCCGCAGCTGCACCAGCTCAAGATTGTCATTCACCGCATGAACCTCTCTTTCTGGCGCAGCCCCAACTACATCTTCACCCGTCTCTTCAACCACATTGTCGTTGCGCTGCTCACTGGTCTGACGTACCTCGACCTCGACAACTCGCGCTCCAGCCTGCAGTACAAGGTCTTCGTCATGTTCCAGGTCACGGTTCTTCCTGCTTTGATCATTTCGCAGGTCGAGGTCATGTATCACATCAAGCGCGCCATCTTCTTCCGTGAGAGCAGCTCCAAGATGTACAACCCGACCACTTTCGCCGCGAGTATCGTCCTCGCCGAGATGCCCTACAGCATCATGTGCGCCGTTGCCTTCTTCGTTTTGATTTACTTCCTGCCCGGATTCCAGGTCGAGCCTTCGCGTGCCGGCTACCAGTTCCTCATGATCCTCATCACCGAGCTCTTCTCCGTCACGCTCGGCCAGATGCTCGCGTCTCTGACTCCTTCGGCCTTCATCTCGTCGCAGTTCGACCCCTTTATCATGATCACCTTTGCTCTGTTCTGCGGTGTCGCTGTCCCGCCCCCGCAGATGCCCGCCTTTTGGCGCGCCTGGCTGTACCAGCTCGACCCCTTCACGCGCCTCATCGGCGGCATGGTCACGACGGCCCTGCACGAGCTCGAGGTCATTTGCAAGGGCGCCGAGCTCAACCCGTTCAATGCGCCCAGCGGCCAGAACTGTGGCGAGTACATGTCCGACTTTTTCGCCAACGGCGGCGCGGGCTACATTGTCGACAACTCGACGTCGGAGTGTCAGTACTGCGCGTTTGAGGTTGGCGACGAGTTCTACACGCCGCTCGGATTTGGTTTCGACAAGCGGTGGAGAGACATGGGCATCTTCCTGGCGTTCTTCGCGAGCAACATCGTGATTATATTCCTGGGTGTAAGTTGCGCCCCTATCCCGTCTTCTTCGCGACAGACTTTGTGAAACTTGATGCTAATTCTTATGCAGGCTCGATTCTTGAACTTTAACAGGCGGTAAACTGCCGCGGCATATCTTGGGATAGACAGGGCTATAGATAAAATGCATCAAGCATTGGAACAATGTTCGTAATGAAATAGTAGTAATGGATCGGCTCTGTGTTGGCAGAAAGGTGTCGACTTGAATGGCTGCAAGATGCTGGTTGACCATGATCTGATATTCGCCTCGTCCAATTCACCCCGTGTCAGCGCCAATTCGTTCGTATGGTAGCCGTCAACCGATGTATGATCACTGCAGATGCTGATCCCCCACATCAGCAATCGAACCCCGCCTTTGTATCCTCACTCGGAGTCTCAACACTTCACCTCGTCCATCCATCCATCATCACATTCCCTCCAGCGTTATCCACCCATCGAGCCTCAACACAGTCATGTCACGAGAAGATTTGACATCACGGGTTCTCCCCCAGATGACCCTGGCCTCACCAAGCCAAACGCCAACCCCGGGAACCGACGCCGAGCTCACGGCTGCCGACACGGCCGCCACGCGCTTCTCGAGCCCCCGCACCGCCATCATCACCGGCGGCACCGGCGCCCTCGCCACCGCCATCGCCCACGCCCTCCTCCAGCACGGCTGCGCCGCCCTCTGTCTCTGGGACATCAACACGACCTCGGCAGCCTCGACCGCCGCCCTGCAGTCGCTGCGCCAAGCCTACCCGCACGCCGCCATCATCCTGGCCGAAGTAGACGTGACGTCCGAAGACGCCGTCGGCGCCGCGACGGCCGCCTTCTGCGCGGCGCAGCCCCCGGACGGCGGCATCGACGCCCTCGTCTGCACGGCCGGCGTCGTCGCGTGCGCGCCGTCCCTCGACGCGCCGCCCGCCGCCTTCCGCCGCACCCTCGACGTCAACGCCACGGGCACGTTCCTCTGCGCGCAGGCCGTCGCGCGGACCATGGTCGCGCGCGGGCGCGGCGGGCGCCTCGTCTTCACGGCCAGCATCAGCGGGTCGCGCGTCAACTTCCCGCAGCCGCAGGCCGCGTACAACGCGTCCAAGGCGGCGGTCGTCATGCTCGGCCGGAGCCTCGCGGCCGAGTGGGCGCGGTACGGCATCCGCGTCAACGTCGTCAGCCCGGGCTACCTGGACACGGTGCTCAATGCGGGCGCCGGGCTCGCGGAGGCGAGGGCCGTCTGGACGGGGCGGAACCCGCTTGGGCGCATGGGCAGGGTGGAGGAGGTGGCGGCTGTTGTGCTGATGCTCGTTGGCCGGGCGGGGAGCTATGTTAATGGGGCTGAGATTGTGGTCGATGGTGGGGGGACTGTTTTTTGAGGGGGCTGGGATGTATGGTTATGCTGACTTGGAGGTCAGGGGAGCGGGTTACTTTACTTGGACTTCCTACTATTTCCAGGCCTTCGATACGTGCAATTGAATTGGTTCTGAGTATGATTCGGTTGAGACATCATTTTAAGAACAGTATTACCACACGTGCTGATTTCATTACCAGTGCTAAAGGTGTCAGGTGGCCCTACGGAGCTATTCAGCAGGGGTTGGCCAGGGCCTAAGGGTTACGAGAACGCGTATACAAGTAGCTGCGGAGGGCCAGATTCAGATGAATTCCGACCCCCAACCTATAATCTAATTACCTGCAGACCTACTGGAAGACCTCTTGACTCTGCTTCATATCAAGCAGTGACAAAAACATAACTACTATGCAGCTCGATCAGCCCTCACGTAAGGTAGCTGAGCGTGGGCTTATCAGGAGTGATCTTCGAGATGAAGGTGGTGGTGCGGGCTCTCCGTGATGGCTTTTACTGCCTGCGCCGGCGTTGAGGAAACTAGAAATGGGCAGAGTTTAAACGACCTGGGACCCAGTACGTCAATCGACATATTCGTCGTCACCAATTTACTCAAGTACGGCACTGAAGGCTCTGAATCAGTTGCCTGGGCTGCAAGACCACTTCACATGACGACCACACACGTGGCCCATCGTACCTGAAAAAACTGAGGATCCTCGCATGCATAGCTGGATACAGACTCAGTCCCATGAGAACACTTCGCGACATCTTGCTCCCCATCCGTCAACGGTCGTTACCGTGAGAAACGCAGCTTCTGCCTGCAGGAGGTCACATGGAAGAACACCATCTTGTACTTGCCGTCTGCGCACTTGAAATAGCATATTCAGATACCAAACTCAACGCCTCGGCATCTTTATGCCCCACGTTCAAGACACCCAGACATGCATCACCCCGCAGCAGCTGATGCACCCCGGATAGAGCTTTCTCCCAATCTCAAGCCACGTTTTGCTCGTCCCGAGGCACAACGATCCTACCCCGCCATCGCACAACCTCAAGACCCCAACTCTGGACAAGCCGCTTTCCTCTTTCGGTGCCAGCTTGCGAGTCGACCGCGATGCCACGCCCGTGGCTTACTGAGGTTCGCGATAGCTTCATGTCGCGAAGACTAGATCTCGATCTGCCAAGTGGGATAGCGAGCAGCGAGGCTTTCTGTCCTCTATCCGGAAGGATTGTGGAGATGCGATTGGAGGGAACCTTCTTGGTGAAAGACTTTCACGAGCCTTCGAACTTGTCTCGTGGGCAGCATCGATGCTGGAGACTCTGCAGTTGTCCTGGGCCTTGTGAGAGGTAATCACCGTCTTTGCGAGCTTCAGGCTCCCACGTGAGGGCTCATGTGAGTTCGTCGTCTCAAAGATGTATAAATGAGAGATGGGCTTCGTGGGAGATTTACCTGAACTTCCAGTCTCCCAAGCTCTTCAATCCGGTTGTCTGCCGGCTAGCTCATTCACGAACCTTGTCATCACCTTTGCACTCTGATCGTCCTTCATCATGAAGTTCCTCACCATTGTTTTCGCCCTGGCAACCCTTGCTGTTGCTCTCCCCGTAGAGCCAGCTGTCGAAGAGGCCGAGGCGCTTGTTTCGCGGAACGAGCTCGCTGTGCTTGAAGCCCGTCAGTCGAGCACCCGCAGTGAGCTTGAATCTGGCAGTTCTTCCAGGTGCCCTCGCGCCATCCTCATCTATGCCCGCGGCTCCACCGAGCCGGGTAACATGGTGAGCCCTTCAACCTCCCAGTAGAAAGGGGTGTTTCTAACAAAGCGAAGGGAATCACCGCGGGCCCCACCCTCGCCTCAGCCTTGACGCGCGAGTATGGCTCAGCCGGCATCTGGATCCAGGGCGTCGGCGGCCCATACGGTGCCGAACTGTCCCCCAACTTCCTCCCCTCCGGCACGGACAGAGCCTCGATCAACGAGGCCAAGCGCCTCTTCACCCTTGCCAACACGAAGTGCCCCAACACGCCTGTCGTTACCGGCGGCTACAGGTACGTTGTGGTCCCTAAGGTCAGCCGTACAGGAGAGAAGAGTGCTGACCACCAACACCTCGCAGCCAGGGCACCGCCGTCGTCGGCAACGCGCTGTCCGAGCTCAGCTCGGCCGTCCAGAACCAAGTCAAGGGTGCTGTGGTCTTCGGATACACCAAGAACCTGCAGAACCTGGGTCGTATCCCCAACTTCCCCACCGCCAAGACGGAGATTTACTGCGCCATCAGTGATGCTGTTTGCTGGGGCACGCTGTTCATCCTGCCCGCGCACTTTTCTTACAATGCTGATGCTGCTGGGGCGGCTCCCCGGTTCCTCGTCCGCCAGATCGCGCGTGGCTGACAGGGCATGGAGCGGGTGTGCAGCGTCTCGACCGCGACCTGATTCCAATGGTCTGACGTGGGACTGTTGCAAATGCTTATAACGTCGGCATGCTGGCTCATGCGGCTCAGAAGGGTGCTGTACCTCTTGGCTCTGACGTAGGGATTATAGCTTGTCTGTCAGCGCCAATGGACGTTTCTGAGACTCCATAATCATTACCAAGCAGATGTCTCCGCATTGTGACTAAACCTCAATTGGCTGTGACTGGGAAAAAAGCTTGGTGAACCATTGCTTATCTGAGGCCAGTCCCTTACATACTTGCAGTGACATAACAGAAGGTTTGGTCATTGCACTCTAATGCTGGTTCAAGTTTAGAATTATCAATAGTCGAAAGCGTTTGTTGAACGGATTATGGCGTCCACCTCAGTTGATGGTCGGGATGACTCAGCACATGTGCGAAAGTCTACCACTGACCAATGCGCCCTGATTCACGCTTAGAAGTTTTTTTCAAACTCAATCCAGAGCCTTCTTGCGTTGTGCTGTAAGGCGCCGCAGGGCCGCCGACTGTTTCGATCCGACGCAAGAGATGACTGAGCTGCGTGCTTCATTCTACAGTCTTATAAAAGCAATGCACATACTTGATAGGGTTGTCCTTGATGGCATCTATTGATCAATCAGTACAAAAGACTGGAAGCAAGTTCTTCGATTAAGCCCCCTCGCTGCCGAAACCCACTTACATCGAAATCTCGACTGGATATTCATTTGGTGGCGCCGGGCACCTTTGAATAACACACTGACTAGGCTCAAAGCATGTCCACGGTGAACGAAGCGGCTCGTCGTAAGACGACCCATCAAACTATCGGCGTTCTTCAGGTATCTGGTGACGGTAACGAACTCGCTCAGAATGGCGATGCGCTCTCTGCTGCAGAACAGAAACGGGCGCTGAAGAAAATGGACCTTCGGCTCGTCGTCCTCGTGGGCATCATGTATTGCTTTTCGGTCATTGGTCGATCAGCACTCGCTTCAGCCAGTGTCGCGGGGATGGCGGAAGATCTCCAGCTCGTCGGCAACAGATTTGTGAGTTGATGATGTTCTACGATGCATCTTGTGCAACCCCTAGGTGCTAATTCGTACAAGTCCGTTACTATCGTGGTATTCTTCGCGACATATATTCTCTTTCAACCCGTTTCGACCATCATGGCAAGAACATTTGGGCCGCGGCTCTACTTTTCTGCCATTACACTGTCGAGCGGCCTTGTCGTCGTTGGGATGGGCCATGCAAAGTCCTGGATAGACATGATCATCATGAGATTGCTCCTTGGTGCATTGGATTCTGGCTTCTTTCCAAGCTGCCATTATCTCTTGAGTACCTGGTACACCAGATGTACTTTTCTCTTAAGTCTCGCAAGGGTGATCATGTAGCTAACATGGCCAACAGCTGAGGTTGGGTCTCGATTCTCCTGGTTTTACATCCTTGTCTCCATATCCTATGCTTTTGGGGGACTCCTCGCCAGTGGGGTAACAATTCTCCTATATAATTCGCACAGATTAGAATGCTGACGGGCTCCAGCTCACAAGAATGGACGGCCTCGGAAACTTACGCGGATGGTCGTGGATTTTCATGATAGATGGCATCACCACCTGCCTGCTTGGCCTGGCGGGCCTTTTTCTACTGGTTGAATTTCCCGACACGACCAAACCTTCACGATACTTCCTGTCAAGCCGCGAGCTCGCCTGGGTCAAGTCGCGGGTCGATGCCGACCGTGGAGACGTCGCCATCTCGAAGCTCACTCTGACAAAGCTCATGCGCGGCGGTCTTGACCCCAAGGTGTGGGCGTTTGCACTCATCTTCTTCAACAACGCCGTTGTCAACTTTGGTCTGTAATCCTCGGCGGTCTGGAAGCTCCGCCGCTAACGAGATGACAGCGCTGGCAAACTTCCTCCCCATCATTCTCCGGAAGAACATGGGCTTCAGCGTCGCCAAGTCCCAGGCCCTGGTCGCGCCTCCGTACGTTTTTGCCGCGATAGTCATGCATACTGTCGGCTGGCTGGGAGATCGATACCGCGTCCGCGGGCCCTTTCTCGTCGCCATGATGCTGCTGTCCATCACCGGCACATCGCTCATGGGCTTCCATCAGAGGACTGGGTTTCGCTATGCCGGCGTCTTTCTCACAGCAGCGGGGACGACGAGCGCCGTGCCGGTGACGATGGCGTACCAGGCGAACAACATCAGGGGTCAGTGGAAGCGGGCCTTCTCGAGTGCGCTCGTCGTTGGCGTCTCCGGCTTTGGCGGAATTTTTGGGACCTTGGTGTTCAGGTGAGATTCAGGCATTATAATGGAGTGTTGACTGGGTGTGCTTGGGCTGATCAATCCAGATCGCAAGATGCGCCGGCGTATCTTCTGGGACTGACGACGTGCTTGGCATGTGCGGTGCTGAACATCTCCATTGTGATCGGTTTGACGGTTTACTTCCACTTGGCGAATTCAAGGGCAGACAGAGGTGGGGTTGAGCTTGAGATATCAGAGGTGAGACGGCTCTTGAGGCGGGTGCAGTTCCGTACGACTTGCTGACTTGGTTTCACAGGAGGTACGAACACAGGGATTTCGCCATACGCTTTAAGATTATGATAAGAGCCACTTGCAAATGGGAAATCCATACAACCCCCGGACACTAAGTTCAATCAAAGCAACTCATATCTCACGCTGTGACAATGTGTACGCGTTCGACTGTGGTGGATTTTCAACTGAACCAGCCTTTGACCAGCGTTTGAAACCATGCAATTAGAAATCATGTGCATGTTCTTTCCTGAATCCTCCACCAGAAAAACTGCATCTCTCGAACCAAAACACCAAAACATCTCGACGGACCCGCGCATCCCGTCATCACGATAAATTGCCCCTCTCACCAGCCACATCCCCTCGCACGCCCCACCTGCCCCGCCCCCGCGACAAACGCTCCGGCCCTGACGTCACTCGCGGCCTCACCACCATGCCGTCATCCACCATTGCGATCTCATCAAAGTGACATCAGTTACAGCAGCCGCACGTAACAATCCGTATGCATCTCAACAGCTTTCATGTGCTTCTCTGTCAGTAAGGGTGTAGCGGCAGCAGCGAATGGCTGAGTCAGGATAAGGAAGGCCAGGAAGGAAAACAGCGGATCTGCGAGCCGTGTCCGTGGCTGTATTTAACTCTCGCAGCTGGCTGAGCTCTTTCCCTTTCCTCGCCATTACACGACCACGTAGCTACCCCTCCATCAATTCACACCAATACTCCTCAAATCTCGACCAAACCAAAACCTCTTCATCGACACACATCAGAGCAAACATGCCTGAAGGTCGCCAGTCCCCCGAGCCCGAGAGGCAGTCCGGCAAGCAGCAGCAGTCCCCCCCCGGCTCCGGCCAGGGCACCGACAACGCGGACAACAAGGAGCAGGTCAACGCCGACCAGCTGCAGGTAAGTCCCGCACACACGCACTTGATCGTAGAGGACGGAGAGGCTGACTGGTGTAGAACCTGTCTTCGAACCCCAAGGGTGCGCTTGATGATGCGCTGAAGGACAAATTCAGCAAGACGGAGAAATGAGCGAAGAGTATGGATAGGTCATGCGGGAGATACGTAACTATTGTATGATTAAGCCCACGGGATCATGGGGTGCACAATGGAATTGAGATTTTGAAATGCGCTGTGCTGTCATTTGTGAACTTGATGTTTAAGGCTCCCGAAGCTCGGGCGTCTGGATTTAGCTGGCGTTGCTGCACGGCGACCGTATTGGCAAGGTGCAGGATTGTTGGGTTTGGGTATATGCGCGAATTTGAGATGACCGACCGATCCAGACGTACTGCCAAAGAAGTCTTGCGAAAATGTCCGTCATTGACGCTAGGGATCATATGGACCGTCAGTCAAGTATGGTCACCGGGGAAATAGATGTAGGAGAATCATCGTGGTAGTTGAATTACTATGGAGATAAGAATTCGTCGATACTTCCTCTCGCTATCATCACACGCAAGACTCATTTCGTAACGAATACCATCCAACGCCTGCGAAACCATTTCATTTCTCTTCAACAACAGATGGGCCATCAATAGACCCTCTATGCCTTCTCGCCGCCGGGCTTAGACAGGGGCACAGACGAGCTGTCGTCAGGCTGCGTCGGGGCGGCGGTACCGACCGTCTCGCCGGTCTGAGGGGGCACCGTCTTCTCCTTCTCCTTGCCGAAGATCTTCTCGAGGCCCGAGGCCTTGTAGGCACTGCCGCCGGACTGCTCCTTCTTGAGGTCGGCCAGGCGACGGGCCTCGGCGTGAATGTCAGCGACCTGGCGCTGAGAATCTTCGTAGAACCTGACAATCTTCTGGCCGGTAGGGGAGCTGGCGGCCTGCTCAAAGTAGCTGCTGAGGCCGCCGAAGAGGCCCTGGGCGCGGGCAGAAATGCCGTAGGACTGGTCGGTGGCCTTGGCGCGATCGGTGGCGTGGTACTTCTGGTCGAGGCTCTGGAGGGTGTTGAGGAAGCGGGAGGAGATGCCGTGCTGGCTGTCAAGCTCAATGGCGCGCTGCAGGGTGGCGTCGCCGACGACGTAGCCGTGGGCGAGGTACTCGGCGAAGATGCGGGTGCGAGGCTTCTCCTCCTGGGTGATCTCATCCGTGTCGCGGTTGGCGTCCGTCTTGGTGAAGTGGGAGCCGTCGTCGGAGGCGTCGCCGCTGGCGCTGGTGACGCTGATGTGGGAGGAGCCGAGCTTTGTGTTGTTCAGCAGAAGGGCGGTCTTGGCTGCTGTCTCCTTCTCAAAGGTGACGGTGGCCTCCTTCTCCTCACCGGCGGGGGTGACATCGAGGCTCGTGATCTTGCCGCAGAAGCTGAAGAAGTCGCGGATCTCCTTGTCCTCGGTCGCCGAAGCGATGTTCTTCACGTGGACGGTGTTGGCAGTCATTGTGAGTTTGTGACGGTGATCGTTTTGTCGTAGAAGTGCTTGTGTTTGTGGTAAAGGTTGAGAGATCTGCCTGCCGTGGGACGATGCAAGAGCGGGGTAATTAAAAGGTTTCAAGAGGGGGGGTATCACGTTGGGCTGGTGGTTGAGAAGGGATGGACAGATGGCGTGGGATGGGTTCGAAGGAGTACCTTACTTAAAGGTTGAGGTGCTTGGGCTGGAAAGTCACGAGCTCGAAAAGACGCGTGGGTTCACTTTGCTTCTATGCCAAGGCAGCGACGATAGCATGGCAGGAAGGCGCGGGCTTTGGGGGCAGAGGGCGGCCTCTAGCTCCTGCCGACGTGTTTTCGGGTGACGATTGTTGGGGAGGGGCGACGTGGGTGCTGCTGCTCCCATTCGAGAGAGCAACGTCATCGCTGCGCCGATGATGGGATGTGGAGCGGGGCAATTGTGGCTGAGGACATGCAGTTAGTCACGACCAAAGCCTCGAAGTACCTGTGAGCCCAATGTTTGCAGCGCGTCTACCTACCCAAGCGGGTTGCAAAAAAAATGAGACGTACTGAATGCTTCACCCCAGCCCCTCTACCTAGAATAACTGCACAACACTACTACGAGACACCTACAAGATCTAGGATTATAGTGACTATTGAGTTTATAGATCAGTATAATGTACACTATTTTAAAGAAAGGCTTTTCGCCTAGACTGAAGCTCTGGGAGTCGTTGTAGAAATGTATAGCTGAATAGCTGGGTAGAAGGAATGGTTATGGGGGAGGGATCTTCCGCAGCGCCTCAATGTCCGCATCGTAGCCCTCGTCAGCAAACCATCGGAACATGGACCCGAAATCGTTCATGAGCCACCTGATGATCGACACGAGAATGCCGTTGGCATACGGCAGGTCCCGGCCGGCAGACCGCTTGAAGATGGCCGCAAACTCGTCGAGCGTCGGGTTCGCGCCCGCCAGCGACACGGCCCTGCCCGCCCAGGCCTCGGGCTGCGCAAAGGCCCGGGCCGCGAAGACGCCAATGTCGCTGACGGCGACGAGCTGCAGGCGCGCGCCGCCGGCGCCGCGGCGCCAGGCCGTCGGGAAGACGCGGCCGAAGAAGTCGTCGGTCAGGTTCTCCATGAAGGCGACGGGGCGCAGGATGGTCCAGGCCATGGGCGTGCCGGCGGCGCGGGCCATGAGGTGCTTCTCGATGGCTTGCTTGTGGATAAAGTGCGGCACGTCGGTCGGGTTCGTGGCCGACCGGTCGCCGTGCCGGTCGACGGACGTGTAGACGAAGAACGAGACGCCCGCGGCGAGGGAGGCGTCGACGAGGCCCTGGCCCTGGCGCTGCTCGTCGCCGGCGCCGGCGCCTATGCCGACCTGCACGCTGAAGACGCCCCAGATGGGCGCGCCGCTGATGGCTTGGGCCGTCTTGAGGACGAGGCTCGGGTCGGCGAGGTCGCCCTCGACGAGCTTGATGCGACTCGACTTGCTGGTGACGCGCTGTGCTGAGGCCGAGGATGGGTTGCGGGTGACGGCGAGGATGTCAAAGTCTGCGTTGTCGGTGACGAGCGTGTTGATGACGGCGCCGCCTTGCTTGCCGGTGCGCCAAAGATGAGGACTGATCGAGCCATTGTGGCGAGGTGGTGTGGTGAGTGAGTCTGGAGAGGTTAGGTTGATGGATTGATCGCCGGTGTTCTGTGAGGATGGGAGCAGGATTGTGTGGTTTGAAGTGAGCACTGGATAGATGAATGTAGTGATGCACCGGACAGATCGATGGAAGTGATGCACTGAATAGATCGATGGAAGTGATGCACTGAATAGATCGATGGAAGGGATGTGTGATGGACGAGGCGTGATGGAAGACATGAACTCGAAGGGCAGTCCCCTTGCTCAGCCTTATACCTCTCCATCGTCACCATGATCGCGTCACACAATCAATCAGCTGCATGGGACGCACTCGCGCATGCTGAGAAATGCCGTGGCAGATGCGCTCGCTCGCTGTCCGACCATGTCCGTCCCCTCGAGGACCAAAGTCTCCATAGCTCCGGGCGCGGTCGGTGTCTGGGTGGGGGTCTCCTGTCGGCCTTGGTCGGACACCGGCCTTACAAATTGTGCTTTCGCTGGCTGCATTGGTTAGGTACCTCATTAGGGTTACTTCCCCAAGTCTCCTCATCATCACCTGCGTCAGACCTAAACTTGTTGCTGGTGTCGTCCCCGATTATCAACCACGGCCTTTTCGAGCTGTGCTAACCGCTCATCGGCAACAAGTCACGATTGCTGGAGGGGTCAAGTGCGGAGAGGTGTATGAGTACGATATTCCGTACCTAGCTATCCTAAGGTACAGGTAGGAGGGTGCCTGGAACAGGCAAGCGGTTCCGGGTGGGCAAGTGGAGGCACTGGGTACGCGGCCACCTGGCGGCAGGTGGCTGTGCCAGGTGGCAGCCACTAACCAAGCGAATGCCACCAACAACAAACCTTCCTACCTGCCCCTGCTGCCTTAACCAAGTTGGCATGATCACAGAATCGAAACAGGTTTTCCAATACAGATTCATTCATTATTCGTACCCGCCAATATTACCCAAGAGATTGTATGGTCCCCCCCATTCGTCACTTTTCCATCCATCATTCTCGGTAGAGACAGACTCCCATGCGGCAACATGTCAAAGGAAACGCCAACATTACCAACTCTCAACTCTCTCAAAAACACCACGCCGATCAGCATGTGCTGAAGCAGCTCCTCACACCGACCAACACAGAACCGATCATCCCAGACGCTGACGAGCCCGGCCATCACGCACCATCAGACGCGACAGTATCAGCGTGGCCTCGCCCGCCACTCATCCCGAAGCTCAGTAGTGGTTCTTCTTCTTGCAATGGCCGTTCCTGCAGACCTCGCCGTAGCGACACTATGACTCGGTCAGCTTGCATCCCCTCGTCGACACATCGCGGCCGCCTCGACATACCTTGTTGTTGCACTTGCCGCAGTTGCCGTCATCCCACTTGAGGTTGGCGCAGTCCCATCCGCACCGCGTCAGGCCATAGGGACAGGTGGGAGGAACGCATTTGCCGTTCTTGCACGTCCAGCCCGTCTTGCACTATCATCGAGGAAGCCCAACCATCAGCGTTTGGAAGTCTGAGAGCAGGCAGTTAAGGGTGAACTCACATGCTTGCCGCACTTGCCGCAGTTCGTCTCGTCCGTCCACTTGTTCACGCACTGGTCGCCGCACTTGATCTTCCACCGCGGGCACGTGACCTTCTTCTTGCAGACGCCGTACTCGCACCGCTCGTCGTGGTCGCAGCAGTCCCGGCCGCACTGCATCTTGTACCATGGGCACGTCGGGATCTTCTTGCACTGGCCGTACTCGCACTTTTCGTCCGCCTTGCAACAGGCCTTGCCACAGGTCTTGTCGGCCGGGCAGACGGGAATCTTCTTGCACTCGCCGTATTCGCACTTTTCGTCCGATTTGCACTGACGGTCCTGGTTAGCGACGCTTTTCTACCGTGGGAGTTTCACTTACGCAGGCCTTGCCGCATGTCTTCTCCACTGGGCAGACGGGGATTTTCTTGCACTCGCCGTATTCACACTTCTCATCGGCCTTGCAACAAGCCTTTCCACAGGTCTTGTCGGCTGGGCACACGGGAATCTTCTTGCACTCGCCATACTCGCACTTCTCGTCCGCCTTACACTACAGGACTGATTAGCCAGCTCACGAAACAAATAGGAAGCCACTTACGCAAGCCTTTCCGCATGTCTTCTCGACGGGGCAGACGGGATTTTTTTTGCACTCGCCATATTCACACTTCTCATCGGCCTTGCACTGCTAGGGAATCAGCGACGTCTTCAGGAGCGGATCACAGGGGCACGCCACTCACGCAAGCCTTTCCGCATGTCTTCTCGACAGGACAAACCGGGATCTTCTTGCATTCGCCATATTCACACTTCTCGTCGGCCTTGCACTGTGGAGAGTCAGCATCACATCGCTCTACAGAGCAGAATGGGGGTTGTACGTACGCAAGCCTTTCCACAGGTCTTCTCTACAGGACACACGGGGATCTTCTTGCATTCGCCGTACTCGCACTTCTCGTCTGCCTTGCACTTTGAGCTTGTCAGTCATGCTCTGGGGAGCGGATGATCGCGGTTACGCACGCAAGCCTTGCCACATGTCTTCTCGACGGGGCACACGGGGATCTTCTTGCATTCCCCATATTCGCACTTCTCATCGGATTTGCACTGCGAGAGAGTCAGACAATGCCAAGAAAGGTCTCCAGACAGAAGTACTCACGCAGGCTTTGCCGCACGTCTTCTCGACAGGGCACACGGGAATCTTTTGGCATGCCCCGTACTCGCACTTTTCATCCGCCTTGCACTAAGGGGGATAGTTAGTATCCGGCCTCCAAGTAGATGCGGGGTTCTTACGCAGGCCTTTCCACAGGTCTTCTCGACAGGGCATACGGGAATCTTAGTACATTGGCCGTACTCGCACTTCTCGTCGGATTTACACTGGGGCATTGTCAGAATTCCGGTGTGCTTCACGAACCTGGAGGAACTTACGCAAGCCTTGCCGCAGGTCTTTTCGACAGGGCACACGGGGATCTTGGTGCACTGGCCGTACTCGCACTTCTCGTCGTCCTTGCACTACATGGCCGTCAGAACGTGACATCCAAGGGAGGCACTAGAAGATGCTTACACAAGCCTTGCCGCAGGTCTTTTCGACAGAGCATGTAGGCTTCTTCTGGCACTGCCCATACTCGCATGTCTGGTCTGTAGTGCACTGAAGACAAAGTTAGAAGACAACATGTTAATAGTCAAGACATGGCTTCTTACGCAGGCGTCTCCACACTTCTGCGCTGTAGGACAGGTGTTGATTTTAGTGCATTGGCCGTACTGGCATTTCTCGTCGGGTTGGCACTATGTTCAGAGTCAGCAAGTATTGAATTGACGAGCCCGTGATGAACAAACGCATTTGGTGTCACATTTCTGAGCGTATGGGCAGGTGACTTCACCCCGTGGGTCGACAGCCGCAGCAGCAGCCAGTGCCCCCTGTACCATGAAAATGGACAGGCCGCATAAGGAGGAGCTTCAAAGTAGACTTCATGGTGACGATCCTCGGTGAGAAGAAGAGTGATAGTATGTGGCTGGAGAGGAAGAGCCTTGATCCTCCCGACTGTGAGGCAAAAGAAACTTGGCTAGATCTTTTATAAAGTCCAGACATCACCTCCTCCCACTAATACTGAATTCGGGCGCAGTCAGCCATCCCAAGGGGAGCTGAGCAGCCAGCAAGCTCATGCAGCCATCTGATCACAAGTGACTGAGCTGAGATTGGGCCGCAGAGCTAGTGCAGCTCGATGTTGTAAGAATGAGGCTGGATGTTGCCATGTTGTTGGGCAAGTTTGCGAGACTTGAGCTACCGCAAACTCAATCCAACAAGCAGTGACGGGATCAGCTCGCAGCCGAAGGCACAAGACTTCGATGCCAACAAGAGGCAGCTGTCGCACCGTCCTCGTATTAGTGAAGCCACTGAGGGCCTCCGGCCGATGTTCTTTTGCTGGTGTTACGTTTCTATTCTCCGATGGCTGATCACAGCCGTCCTCAGCGACATGGTGGTGTTGTCTAGCACACGCCCCTGGCGCTGTTGTCACCAACTTCTATAGCCTCTGATGACAACATCAGCCTTAGGGCTGATGATACATGTTACTGTAACTTTTATAGTCCTGGGATACTGCATGGCCCGAACGGCCGGCTTTTCCTCGACAGCCCCGACTGGCCGCCCGTTGGGGGGCCTGACTTGGAAAAGGTTGTCAAGCCACGTTGGCCGAACCCAGCCGTCGTCCCATCAGAAAGCGTCCTTCTCCAATTCTCGTATTCAGCACAACGGTGTGATGACCGAGCTAGCACCGCCACTAGGGGCAGGTTCGGGAGAGGAGCAATTGGACCCGGAACTTTCCAAAAAAAGAAGAACCCCAGGACTTGGTCTCCTCAGCTACCTTACCCCGCGATGCTGTGCCCCTTACTCCGGCACTGGTACCCGAGTAGCTCCCTGACTGTTGGGATGCCCTTTACCATCTAGCTTCCCCGCTCAACAAGCCACATTGTTAAGTCCCACTTTGGGTTCGTTGTCCACAGACTCAGGGGGTTAGCAATGTCAGGTTGAAGCGTCGAGATCAATTTGAAGCTAGACCTGATTGTCGCCGCTTTCCATGTGGCTGCATGAGTGTCGAGCGATACCGCCTCGAGCGGTGAAATTCAATAGTCTACGCCGCTATAGTAAGCTTGAATCTAATCGCGATTCAAAAGAGGGCTACTCGATCAACGACAGTGGAGCAGAGTCTCCTGCAGCTAAGGTATGTTTACTCTGTGACGTAGAACCCTAATCCCTTCGCCTTGCGGACATGCGTGACACTCCACCTACTGTCAAGCAGAGCGTGACCGAAGTACCCAATGCTCGCTCTCTATGATCTTTATAATGATGCCCAAGGCGACCTCTCACGGCGCTAGACACGCCGGCGAGACCCAGACCGAGCGAGCTTGCATGGCGGTAAGGGATGTTGTGGGACGGAAAGCCCAATAACTAAACGTAATTCGGGGTGTTTTGTGACTTAGAGTCATCATATACCTGCCATTACCCTTACTCTGAAAATCCCGCTTGCCTTTCCACGCGCTATGTCCAGGGGTAGCTGCACTCGTGACTGGAGCCAACACTCACCTGCCGTCAGCCCCAGATTTCCTTGCATTCTTCTTGAGAAGACAAGTCAAAGTCAGGAGAGCATATCATTATGGTGCCTTAGGGGTCCAGATCCTCGCGTACATGGTCGGGGGACTGACGGCCAGACACCTGTCACCGCCAGAAGTAATCATGCTTACTCCTGTCGGGACCTGCATTACATGGCGGGGCTGTGTCTGCTGAGTGGCTTGCCGTTATACGACAATCGAGCCGTGAGCGCAGATTCGAACTGTGCTCTATCTGATCACCTACTGGTCGGCATGGATTTTTTCGGGCGGCGTGGATGGTTCGTTATTTTTGGGAGTAGCGGCCATCAGCCGCATACCTCGCCCGTGACCCCGCACTGCCCGCAGTTCGCCCTGGTGAATGATGCAGATATTGACAGAAATATGACGTGCGGCTGGGTGCCTACATCTCGATTGGGCCGTGACACCAGCAGGCTGATGTGGTTCAGCCGTGGCCGTTGAGCGACCCTTTCTAGCCGGAGACGTTGCGTGAACCGGTCAGCTCCGTCTATAGAACTCTGAATTCTGTCTTGTTTGCCGATCGACGTACATTCGAAAGTTCTCGTATATTGCAGCATGAGAACGCTTTGGTCGTGAGTCGTGACCATGTCTTACCAAGGCCGCTAAAGCGTTCCGCGACCCTTGATGATCATCCGGCTGTCCGGGTCACGGATCAGGGGCATTGTAACAGGACAAAGACACAGGGTTCTTGGTACTGAGACAGATCACCAATTGTTCTCTCTCCAGTCGTTTTGGGTATGGTGCGGTTTTCGTCGGCTGAATTACTGAGACACTGTGCTATCTGGATGATTGTCTCGCTCTAAAATGGGACTAGGAGCATGTCAATGTGCAGCCCATCCAAGACTGAGCCTCAGTACTTCTTAAGATTTTCTATCTGGCGATAACAATCGAAGGAAATTGGCATCAGCTCTGCAAGGAAGATGTTGGACAAGGCGCCTTCATGTCGCGACGGAAACTCCCACCAATTGGGGCATCTAAATCCCCACCGCGAGCAAATTTATCTTACGATGAGCTGCATCGAGACTCAGGCGATCGAGCTAAGGGGGGCCTTTGTCTGGCCGCCAACACCCTTATTCCTTTGTTCGTCGTCCCACGAGGCTGGTATCGCAAGCGTGCTGCGGATGTCCGGCAAATGGGGCCACCCACGTTCTCCACGAGGAAGATGGCAGCTGATGTGACAAAGCCAGAGATTCCAGGGCTTTGCCATGAGGTCCATCAAGCCTATACTCATGAATGCATCACATAAACCTCTGAGAAATTCAATTCCATTCACAGACTTGTGAAGTTTGAAGTATTCTGAAGTTTCACATCTCGACATCGAGAAGTCAGTTGAACACAAGCTACAATACTCGGGCTTAAACCACAGTGGCTACGGCAGCTAGCGTACCCGAACATAGCTGACGGCTGCAATGTCAAAAAGGAGCCGGCGTGTCAAAGTGGCACATCATAGGGAAAATGCATGAACAAACTTCATTTTAATCAGCGAAAAAGCTATGTACACTGGAATGTTGCAGATATCACAAGCAAAGTCTCTTGCAGCCATCGCCCGGCTCTCAATCCTTCGGCAAACTTAAGAAGACCACTCGGTCGTGGCACCCAGAGCATCGCCATTGGCAGGGACGAGGAAGTCGCTGGGCGCGATGCGGCCGTCAGCCTGGCGCGGCCCGGTGACGAGGTCAATGTTGGTGCTTTTGAAGTCCGAGTTGCTCCAGTTGGAGCTGCCGTCCCAGCTGTTTCCACGCGACGTAACACCCGAAACAAGGTAGACTTGGTCATCATTGTCGGTGGACCCGTGGTTCTCAGCGGCCAGGTTGCCTTCGTAGGTCGCGATGGATGAACGCGTGTTGAAGCCTTCCTCGCCGTTGTTCCAGGCCGTGTTACGCGTGAAGGTCATGTCGCCGGGCATATTGTTATCCGTGTACCCGCGACGCTTGTTGCCGAAGGAGATGACATTCGTGATGACGTGGTTGACCTCCCCACGGTCGGAGGCGGAGGAACCGCCCCCGAGCTTGACACCATGGCCGTCGTTCTCATGTGGGTTGAAGCCCCAGTGGTTGAAGCCGTTGCCGTAGACAATACAGTCGAGAATCGTCACGTCAGAGAGGAACTCCCAAAGGTCCAGGCCATCGTCGGAGTTGTCCCAGAGGCGTGCGCCGCGGATAACATTCCCCTCACCGGACCCTTCCTTGAGGGAGATGCCGTCGGCCGACTTGCCGTTTTTGCGGGGGTCGGCGTTCATGTACGAGTCGAGGTAGGCAATTTCCGTGTTGGAGATGCTGTTCTGGAGGTGGAATCCAGACTCGTAGTTGTCGTGAGTTGTAATGCGCTCAAAGTAATTGTTGTGTGAATCCTTGACATAGACGCCATACGGACCGTGGATGAAGGTCAAATTGTACATCCGCCAGTAATCAGCTTTTTCGAAGTGGAATACACCACGGTCCGAGTTAGGTAGGTCACCACCGTACGGGACAGGGTTGTTGGGAAAGTTATCACCGTCGACGATGACCTCCTCACCCTCGTATGCTGCGATGGTGTAAGGATTGCTGGAGGTGCCACTCTTGCGAATCTGGATATTGGCCGACGGTTTGTAAGTGCCGGCACGAAGATAGATGTTGTCGCCGGCCGAGGCGGCGTCGACGGCATCCTGAATGGAGGCAAAGGGCGAGCTGATGGAACCGCTGCCCGAGTTGCTACCGTCTGACGCAACAAAGATATCCGCCGCCAGAGCGAGGGGAAGCGCGACTGCAACGAAAAATTTGGCGAAGCTCATGATTATGAGGTTTTGGTAACTCTAGGGGTAAGTTCAGAGTATGTTGAACCTGATGGAAATAAACAGCAAGAGCAAATTGGGATGCAGAGCAATGAATGAAAGTGTGGTGAGCGTATGGCTTGCTACCCCATAGCAACTGTGGGATGGCTGGCTTCAGTCCTTTATACCGCGGCTGCTTAGTGGAGGCTCGGCGCTTCGTTAGAAAGCTGTGGCGGGCTTTTGCATCAATGAGTGATTCTTGACTGGGCGCCATGGCTTCGTCGGATTTTGACAGTGGTTCTATAAATTGGAGGACGACGCTTGCGGGGTTTGACTGGATCCCCGTCCGTGAAACGAGGCTCGACGGGACATTGTGGTTAGGAACTTGGCCCAGAACCTGATTCACGCGGTACGTGACACGTGGGAGAAGTGCATTTTCGCCTCAGCGGGTGCATAGTGATGCATCCTCATCGGCTTTGAAAGAAATTATCCCAGCAAACAGACGACACGACGGGGCGCCCGATTTGAAGTTCGGGTCAATACCAACCCCACGGACCTCTTTAGGTAATTCACGGCACTGGGTTAGTGGAACTGTGGATGACGCGGACACCCCCAGCCAAGAACCATTCTTGCCATTGCAGTGGAAGTACTTCCGAAAGAAGCAGGCTGACTGGCGAGGCTGCGAAAGTGGCAGTGTCAACCAACACAATAAGGGGGTTAGGCAACCAGACGGGCATGCGATCCCACCACTGGGATATTTCTTGCTGGTGATTTCCGGCGGGAGTAAGAGGAGCCCGATGTTAACGTGGGCTTTCTGTGGAGTGGTAGGGATCAGCTGTCTTGAATTCTGGGAATCTGCCGAATTCCATGTTGGCAGCTTGGCGATGTCGAAATCTTTGCTTGTCGCTGCCTCCAATAGATGAAGAGTCTACTGGGGGCCCTGAGCTGAGGTCTAGTGCCCGCCAGCGTGCTGTTTGTCGATGATGATTGAGGTCTTTTGTTCTACAGAAAATGCCCAGCGATGCAGAATCAATTTTGAGCGACGTTCAAACACTTCGCCTATCCTATGCTTCGCTCGGTCTTCGCCTGGTCTCTAGATGCCCGGCGTGCAGCACGACAGGAGGAGGAAGGTATGCAAGTGCAGAGGAGGTAGGAGAACACGATGTTGAGTCTTGGCAGAGCCAAGAAGAGGCGTGTTGCATGCTGCCCCGCTTCGATCCGCATAAACCCACTAAAGGATACTTCGTGCGGGCTCGAGATTATGCACTTGGGTCCAAATACTTGACTTTACAAGGCATGGCTGTCCGAGGTGTCTGACAAAACACAAGAGACATTTATAAACACTGACCAGTGTTGTTATAATAGCATGACAGCCACTTGGATGAATGTAAAAGGCAAAGGTTCTGAGTTGGTCGACTACTTTGGGGGCATCAGAATCACTGTAGTCACTGACTGGTATAGCACCAGACTATTCTGTCGTACAGGAGCAGGTCGATTCATTACCCTGAGAGTACTCTTACAACGATAAACGGGTTTGAAGCTCGTGGCATTGTCAGCCTCACTATTCTGGCAATAGAATCGCCATGATTGCTCCTTGGGTCTTGATGCGTTGCGGTCCTCCAAAGGCTGCGAGTGGCCTTGGCAATACATTCGAGTAATTTTTACTCGGCCCCAGCTCTAGTACTGTAAACATGATCATTACGCTGAATTCGCTCATGAGGTCATACTGATACTCCAAGATTGATGAACCTTTCCACCAAGTAGTTCCCGTATCTCTGACGCCCAACATCTCTCATGAGGTTCTGTAGCTTCGAACCAGGTAGCCAGCCTTGCAAATCCCAGAACAATCTTCTGTGATGGACGTCTCCAGAAAACACTGGTCGTCTTTCCAAAGTTTTCGCACAGGGCTCTGCACCAGGACTTAAATACCAGACTCCCCATGGAGATCGGTTCTCGGGGAGTCCAACTTCAAGGGCCTCTAGAGGTCCAGGAATAACTGTTGATAACTGAGCCCTTCTCAACGATGGGATTTGCGAACAAGCCCGCCCAAACGACTCGAACAGCGGGGTCAGTGCATCCTCATCTGGGAGTACCTTTTCGATCGCTGTTACGAATTCTCGCTCCCTCGAAAGGAAGAAGTGTTTACCGCTCTCGCCGCCCTCAGCCTCGCCGCGTCCGTAACCAGGTGGTGGATCTGTCTCTGATATCATAGTCAAGTCGTCGTCACGGCCTTGGTCAGAGATTCTGCTCGGGTCCCAGAAATACTGGCCACCAGAGGGTCGTCCCGTCTCAAAGTGAACCGTAAGGCATTCCAAACTCTGCCAGTACGGTTCCACCAGGGCAGGGGAAGGTCTGGGATAGGACATTGAGTCGTCCATCGTACCAAGTATCGTGAGATTTCGTAGCGCGGGCAAGGCCCCTGTAATTGCACGGATTGCGTTGCTCAGTGGATCCACAATGAACTCGCCCGGCGAATGAGTTCCGAAGGAAAACCGTGGCGTCCAATTCCACATGGATTCCATACTTACAACTAGGGATTGCAAGGAGGACGCCTGAGGAAGAACGTCTGTGAATGCTTGGGCCAGATCGCGGCGATGCTGTCGACGCAATGTGATGTATCGAATTTCCCAGTCGTTCATCTTCCAGTCGGCATTGTGGAGGTTTTGTAGCTTGGCAGCTATGTCAATGGGAACGCGATCGGCAATGTGTCTGGTGAGATCTGACACGACGAAAGACACCACCACTTCTACCACTGGCAGCTCGGAAGGTCGAAGCAGACGTATATATGAGTATTGCCATCGCCAGCTCCATAGGTTAAGTTTGAAAGTCTCTGTGGAGTCAAATTCTAGATGAAGACTACATTCGGGTTCGAAAGAAGGGGATGAACGACGGAGAAAGCCATGGTCCGAACTAGAGTATACGTCTTTCAGGCGAAGCGTGATGTGGCCATCTGTGCGAGGGTCCCAAATTTTGAGGATATGAAATAGACTATGAATGGCAGCCGTGAATGCCTCGTCATTTGATCGTCTATCATCACCGTGCTCGAATTTGATACGTGCATCGTCGTCATACGCAGGAAGTATGATGTGGTATTCGATGACGTTCACGTGTCGACGACGACCAGAGTGAACGATTCGCTTGAACTTGTCTAGTTCAGTACTTCGCACCGTTATTTCTTTGAAGGTCTGTTGCCCGATGGCTTCTTGCTATGCGCGTGAGACGGTGGCCAGGGCTGGCTTATCGTTCTCTGGATGGGAGAGAAATGGGCTGATGCTGTCGTATATGTGCTGATGAAGTTTATTCTCAATGATAGCTGAGGAACGTCAAGTGGGAGTATCCGAGGACACGATTTACGACGGATGGCAACCGAGAGGAAACATTGGGAGAAACCAAATGATCCGCAACATGAACGAGGTTCAGCCAACGCATGAGGTATTTTGAAATGCAGTTGAGGAGCTAAAACAGGTAAACGCCTCCTGTATCTTTCCATTGGAGCATCGAGACATCACGTTTGAACCAAAGGTGCTCTTTTACTCGTTGTCGAGCGTAAATGGCGATTCCTGTCGGACAGGAGGCACGTGACCAATTCTCTGTCCGCGATCCGTGCATCCCTTACATAATACTTGGTCGCGATCCCTTAGTCAGCGCGGAATTTCATCGGCAGCTATTCTTCGCCGCCGTCGCATTCCGAGTCTCGCCATGACGGATTTTTCCCCAGGTCGGCACCATCACCATCCCCTTCACGCGACCGAACCCGCATCCCGAGGCCCATTGCGCCCCCGCCGGACGACTCCATCGCCAGTTCACCGAGAACCTTCCACAGACGTCAAGATGGTACGCCGGCACCCCCTCTGGACCCCGAACCCTAAGGATCAGCCACGCTAACAGCAACTTCCCCCTCTGCAGGCGCACCGTCTCATAACCCAGATCGTCTTCGTCGGCACCCGCATCGTCGGCCGCTCCTTCGCCGCCGCCTACCGCCAGGCCCAAGCCTCATCCGAGTACGCCCGCGCGCAGGCCAAGAACGGCGGCGCCGCCACGGCCGGCGGCCGCGCCAACCTCGCCAGCGGCATGACCCTCGACGAGGCGTGCCGCATCCTCAACGTCAAGCCGCCCAAGGACGGCGTCGCGCCCGAGGAGGTCTTTGACCGCTTCAAGAAGCTCTTCGACGCCAACAACCCCGAGAAGGGCGGCAGCTTCTACCTGCAGAGCAAGGTGCTGCGGGCGCGCGAGCGCCTCGAGCGCGAGATTGGGCCCATGGTCGAGAAGGCTGAGGCCGAGGCCGAGGTCAAGGAGGGCTTCAAGCCGAAACTGTACAAGGACAAATAAGCGGGCCACTGCGCTGGCTGGAGGCAACAGGTTTCCGCGGCCCCGTGAGTGCCTCTCGGGCGAAACGACACGGCAGGAACTCTGGCAACTGAAGGATTGACGCCTGATTCGAGTCCTGCGAGGAAGGTCTCCCAACGAGCACATCGGAAAACACCACGACCCCTGCTTTTGGGGCCCTGCACATACCACAACAAACACACACCACTTCTCTCGACTCCGCATGGCAAGGCGTTTTTGGGGCGGTCCCCCGGTTGGGGCATGCCGCATCTTTGGATGGGTTTAGACGAAGAGAAAAAAAGGGAAGACGTCCCGATTTGTCTTTTGATAATCGATGTATACTACGGGAAGCGGGGGGAGCCGGGCGCCGCGTGGTGCTTAGCAGATTTGAATGCGTATTTTGTACAACACTGCTCAACCTATCAATACGTCAGATGACTCAAATATTGAATCCATGGCTGGGTATAGGAGGATCGTTCGCCGCAATGGCTCGACATTAGCCAAGAGAGGCAGCGTCATTCTTTCAGGTCGGGAACGCCCTCAAGCACCGCCTGCACGTCACACTTACCTCCAACGTCGCATCCGGTCATCGGATCCTCGGATCCTCACCCTGCATGTATGATCCCCACGTCTCAACCGGCTCCGGTGTGTTGGGTCCCGCTGCCTGAACGGGTCTGCGAGACCACCCAAAAACTCGGGACCAACTCCTCCGAACGATCACGCTGCCCGCCATTTGACCTCAAGCTGTGTATCGTTGATTTTCACTCGCCGGAATGGAACGCAAAAGGCCAGACACGAAGGAAATAAATTGAATGCACGAGTCGGCGAACGCAACTCTGCCAGGGTATCTAGAAATATGGACAATACCAATGCCATCCATCAGCCAACCGACCAGATCCCGTATCCGTACACCATGAAGCCAAATCACCAGTTTTTTCCCCCAGACCGTCGCCAAGCCTAACCATATCATACCATCCGTAACCCTGTTCCGTGTCCCTGCCGTTATCCTGTGCCTTGACATTCAATAAAACCGTCAGCCTCGTGCGTGCCCTACACGCGCATCGTGGAGAACCGACTGCGTCCCCGCTCAGGCAACATGGGAATCGCCATGCCAATGTCCCCGACGCTCCGGCTCCTGCTCATGTCTTGCGCGGATTCCTCCTCGGGCAGGTCCATCATGGAAGACCGGAAGGCCGGCGTCAGTGCTCGTTCGTTGACGGTGGGAAGGTATCCAAAGGGGGAGAGCTCTGAGCTTTGCGTCCTCCGCTTCGGGTGAGGATGCGCTCGCACGGGGATCCGGATTTGCGCCGCCGTCGGCCAGCCTGGTAGGCCTGGGCCTGTGACGGCTGGGGAACCGAGGATGCCTGGGTCGTCGGCGGGGAGGGGCGGGGGCGTCACTGAGAGGGCTGCCGGTGCCGCCGCCGTCGGGGGAGGAGGGTACGGTTCGATGGGGTGGCGGTAGCGGTGCCAGAACATGATGCCGATCGTTGCTGCAACGATAACGAAGACGAGGATGCCAGCGATGAGACCGGCGAGTTCGTCGGTGGACAGACGTGAAGAGGAGGAAGACGGGGCCATTGTTGACGTGGCGTCGGAGTCGGATTCGGAGGTTGATGTGGGAGACGAGGTGGAGGTAGGCGCCGATTCGCTGAGAGTGTTGTTGAAGGTTGAGGAAGGAGATATTACAGACGTGGCGGACGAGGATGGAACGATGCTCGATTCGACGCCGGAGGATGTCGTCGTGGACTGGTCTCCAGCGCTGTTGGAGGGTGTTGCGCTTGAGGGGTCGACGAAGACGGTGGTTGTGGTAGTGGTAGTGGCGCCAGGGGCACTGGTGCGGGTGACAATGACTGTCTGGGTGACGGTCGTGATCAAGTCTGCTTCGGCTGGTACCGTCACAGTCTCGATGACCTCGATGGTCGTGGTGGAAGGAGCGGGCTCCTGACGTTCGTATAAGTGGAGTGAAGATGAAATTAGGGTTGTGGTAGAGTCGTATGAAGGGATCGAAGAAGATTCGCGCTGGCTGTGACGAGAGTGAGGCTGCTGCCCCTCCTGCCTCGCTCGTCGTGCAAGTCCACCTCTGTTCTTGACAGCAGCGAATCGAGCATCCGTGACCGTCGCAATGGCGAGCTGGAACCCGATGACAGGGTCGATGAGGTTGACAGTCTCAGTGATGGTGGCATAGACGACTTTGGTGTGGCTTCCCTCTGTGACGGTGACCGTGCGACTGACTATCGCGGTTTCAAGAGTACCGCCCTCTTGCCTGACTTGCAACGTCCCTGAGCTTTTCGGGCTGGGTGATGGTGTGGGTGCGGCGACGGGCGCTGCGCTGGCGAGTCCTGAGATGGCCAGGCAGAGCGACGCAACCGAGACAAAACGCATTATTATTCTTTATCGTGTACTTGACATGCTGATGCCGTGGAATGTATAGCTGAACTTAGAGAGAGTGGACGGGAGGGCAAGCAAAAAGAGTGAGCTGCCGAGTTCCCTAGAGCGAATGCTACCGCAACAAAAAAGGAATGAAAAGAACGTGTAGACGAGAGAGTTACCTTCCAAAGCCGGTCGCCTGCACATCAGCATGCAGGATCGCCCTCCATGATATGGCGCGCAGGACATGGCAGGGCAAAGGTGCCGAGGGGCAGGCGATGGTGGAGGGGCCATGTTCCGGCCGTGTAGGGATGACATGGAATGGGCCTCTGTGGCGGCACGGGGTGGACCTCGCTGCGTGATCCGAGCGGCGTGCACCGGCTTGTCAATCCATAAAAGGGTGCTGCGCTCAGCCTCTTGACGTCCCTGGGATCAGATCGAAAGTGGCCTTGTGGGCAAGGGAGGTCGTTGTTGGGCGATGGCTATACAGGAAGCGGGATAATGCGTCGTTCCCGATCAGGAAGTGGGCGCAAGGGCTCGTCTCGAAGATCCCTGCTCGGCACCGGAATCTGGAACGACACTGGGCGCGAGGGAGGGCTGCCATGGCGCGCTTCGCATGAAGACCATGACGACAACCACGAGGGGTCCGCGAGATGGGTGGGATGGGAGGGGAGCTGCCATCCGAAGAATGTTCGTTCTAGTTGAGACGAGTATTCAATGTTCATCTGGGGGCATTCAGTCTGGGAAATGAAGTGTGCAGAATGACCACGAGTCGGAGACCATGATGCCAAGCACAGTTGAGAGACACAAGCTACATGAGCATCGTGAGCTTCTCCCACTCTGACGGCGGGGCTGCTTTCTCGAGGCGAGTCTCAAGTCGGAGGCGACAAGGATGGCATGAGTCGACAAGTGATGAATCGTTCCCCGGTGTGTCCGAAAAAAAAATCATCGTCGAGCTCTGACGTGGGGAGAAGTCTGAGACGAAGACAGGAGGAGGCCGATGGAGTCTTGTCTGAGATGCCTGGATGATGGCCCATGCTTGATGCGAAACGAATCACGTGACTTCGTGACATAAGCGGCACGAGCCATGGAGAGGCACCACCCCCACACAGGGATGTTCCCTTGGGACGACTCACGGCCCATCGAACCGAACAACAACCCTTGATCGACTCAATTAACAGGTTCCTTCCCCGTGAGCCCACATCATCTTAGCTCGCATGATCGTCCCAGGGTAGCTTCAATGCCTATACGCCTTCCCGCGAAAGCCCATTGAGGCAAGCAATCTAGGGCGGATCCCGGCCGAGTCGTCTTCGGTTGAGACGCCATTATTGCCAACCCCGAGACAGTCCAGCGATCGATCACGGGGTCGATAATCGATTACCGGGAATGCCACGTCGATATGAGGCCGACAGGTCCCGAGCACAGCCTTTGACATTGATGATTATGCTCCCGAGTCGTGGTCACAAGCAACTACCAGGGCCACCAAGTCATCGAAGAAGAGACATGCCGTCGTGTATTCGTCACCTGCCTGATCTTGGCTCCCCTCAAGTCCTAGATCCCGTATCAAATCGCTCCCGAGATATCGATCAAACCATACATCTTCCAACTCCAGCGCCCGCTAAGAACAAAATTTCCAAACCAAAGAACGCTCAAAGGATTGTCGATTACACCTGATCACCCTGCCTCTCCTGCTCTCCGCTTGCCGGCCGATAGAGATATGCCCTACCCCGGTAGACACTCGTTGGAGTCTTCGGGCTCGCCGGCGCCAACGGATCGTTGAGCCCGACCACGAGACTCTCCTCGCTCCGACTCCATCGATCCCCAAGCGCCCGTGGCCTCTCGAGCCCCATCTCCAGGCACTCGGCATCGCCCTCCAGGTGCCCGCTCACCTCTGACGCCCGTCGGCTGACGTCCAGTATCGGCCTGTCGTCCCCCATTCCCAGCCGACTCCTGTTCGCCGTAGCACCGGCCGACATGCCGCCGACCATGCTCCTCAAGCTTAGCGACGTCGGCGTCCTCATGCCCACGAGCGCAACAGCCGGCATGGGCGGTCGCGGCGCCCCCTTTCTCGTCTTGGTCAACTTGTTCAGACCGCTGCCCACACTCCCGTTGCGGCTTCGCCCCAGCTCAGGCGTCCCCGGCTCCGTCCACGGATACCCCCTGTAGCTGACGGCCGTCAGGTTCTCGCTGCGCACCGCCGTCGGGGCGGCGGGCATCGCCGGCACGAGGGGCCTCATCGACCTCCGGCGCGGGTCGGCCATGATCCACGGGTACATTCTCGCGAGCAGCGGTCTGAGCGTCGGCGCGCTGGCGCAGATGATGGCGAGGTCGCACTCGAGGATCGTCATGACGAAAAAGGCGAGCGCGGCCGTGGCGCCGACGAGGTCGGGGCGCCAGTCCTCCCTGACGCTGAGCATCAGCCTCACGACGCCGGCGGCGACGACGAAGATGCCGAGGTTCAGCACGATGGACAGGACGACCTTTTGCTTGGAGGGAATGTCGAGGCCCGAGATGCACGGCAGGATGAGAAGAAGGAGCCAGACGTCCGTCACGGCGTGGAACGTCGCCGAGGCGATGAGCAGGTTCTGGAAGCCGAAGCAGGCCATGGGCCGCCCGAAAAAGTGGCCGGGCGATGGGTGGCATTGCAGCACGCTCATGAGCAGCATGGGCACGCCGTACAGCAGGACGAAGAGGATGGTGCACCAGACGAGTCGCCTCTCTTTTGCCCGCGAGGCAAAGACGCGCAGGTAGAACGTCAGGATCGAGAGCTTGGTCAGGCACAGTGTGATCTGGTAGAAGAGGAGGCCGAGATACGTGCGCAATATGTACGGGTGCACGCCCCAATCTTCCCGAGGCCCTCCTGTAGGGCGGGTTCGTCGGCGTGCAGGACGTCTGGGGTCTGGGCGGCGATGCTGTAGACGACACAGACGCCGGTGGAAGCGAGGAAAGAGAAGACGATGAGAGTATCGTCGACGAACCACTTGCGGAGGACGAGCAAGCGGGCGGCCAGTCGGGCGAGGATGAAGAGGGTGCAGATGCCGTGTGGGATGACCAGACCAAGGAGGGCATTGGGAAAGCCGGTGTCTGGCACGGATGCCGCATTTGCTTCACCAGCCATGGTGATGAGTCGTGAGGTTGTGCGCCTGTCTGTGTGTACCTGTCTATGTGTGCCCTTTGCTAGTGTCGTGACCTCTTATCGCGAATGAGCCATGGGGCTTCACATGGTTCCAGCAAAGGTTCAGAGTATGCACAGCAAAAATGTCTTGGAGCCAAGTCCCCCCCGGACGTCGACATGTATACATACTCATCGCATGCCATCCAACCTACCAGCACTTGGTGGGGAGTCAAACCCAAACACATCGCCCCCCAGGTTTTCCTCCATCCGTCCATGTCCATGCCGCCTCTCATCCCGCCCCTCCATCAATGCCTTCACCAGGTCGCAGCCTAAAATCCCAATTGGCCCCCCCGTCCACGGTTGAGATACCCCTGCAC